CTTGTTATACAAAATCTGAAAACTGTCCACCATAAAGGGCTTGTAAGGTCACTATAAGGCAGTTTGTTCTTCAAATCGGTATGATATATGGACCTCCTGATCTCGCTGAGCCAGACAGTATTCTCATGTTTTTTAGAATAGAGGTCTCTGGATGTATAAGTTTATACAGTGTTTTATCAGTGATATTTTTACATCTCTTATCTGACATATTTGTATCATTTTATCTGTAATACTCTATCTGACATATTTGTATCATTTTATCTGTAATACTCTGACATATTAGTATCATTTTATCTGTAATACTCTGACATATTTGTATCATTTTATCTGTAATACTCTGACATATTAGTATCATTTTATCTGTAATACTCTATCTGACATATTTGTATCATTTTATCTGTAATACTCTATCTGACATATTAGTATCATTTTATCTGTAATACTCTGACATATTTGTATCATTTTATCTGTAATACTCTAACTGACATATTAGTATCATTTTATCTGTAATACTCTAACTGACATATTAGTATCATTTTATCTGTAATACTCTATCTGACATATTAGTATCATTTTATCTGTAATACTCTGACATATTAGTATCATTTTATCTGTAATACTCTACATATTACATATTAGTATCATTTTATCTGTAATACTCTGACATATTAGTATCATTTTATCTGTAATACTCTGACATATTTGTATCATTTTATCTGTAATACTCTGACATATTAGTATCATTTTATCTGTAATACTCTAACTGACATATTAGTATCATTTTATCTGTAATACTCTGACATATTAGTATCATTTTATCTGTAATACTCTGACATATTAGTATCATTTTATCTGTAATACTCTGACATATTAGTATCATTTTATCTGTAATTTTATCTGTAATACTGACATATTAGTATCATTTTATCTGTAATACTCTACATATTAGTATCTGACATATTAGTATCATTTTATCTGTAATACTCTATCTGACATATTAGTATCATTTTATCTGTAATACTATCATTTTATCATTTTATCTGTAATACTCTATCTGACATATTAGTATCATTTTATCTGTAATACTCTATCTGACATATTTGTATCATTTTATCTGTAATACTCTAACATATTTGTACATATTTGTATCATTTTATCATGTAATACTCTGACATATTAGTATCATTTTATCTGACATATTAGTATCATTTTATCTGTAATACTCTATCTGACATATTAGTATCATTTTATCTGTAATACTCTGACATATTAGTATCATTTTATCTGTAATACTCTATCTGACATATTAGTATCATTTTATCTGTAATACTCTATCTGACATATTAGTATCATTTTATCTGTAATACTCTGACATATTAGTATCATTTTATCTGTAATACTCTGACATTAGTATCATTTTATCTAATCATTATTAGTATCATTTTATCTGTAATACTCTGACATATTAGTATCATTTTATCTGTAATACTCTACATATTATACTCATTTTATCTGTAATACTCTGACATATTAGTATCATTTTATCTGTAATACTCTGACATATTAGTATCATTTTATCTGTAATACTCTATCTGACATATTAGTATCATTTTATCTGTAATACTCTGACATATTAGTATCATTTTATCTGTAATACTCTGACATATTAGTATCATTTTATCTGTAATACTCTGACATATTAGTATCATTTTATCTGTAATACTCTATCTGACATATTAGTATCATTTTATCTGTAATACTCTATCTGACATATTAGTATCATTTTATCTGTAATACTCTGACATATTAGTATCATTTTATCTGTAATACTCTGACATATTTGTATCATTTTATCTGTAATACTCTGACATATTAGTATCATTTTATCTGTAATACTCTGACATATTTGTATCATTTTATCTGTAATACTCTATCTGACATATTAGTATCATTTTATCTGTAATACTCTGACATATTTGTATCATTTTATCTGTATCATTTTATACTCTGACATATTAGTATCATTTTATCTGTAATACTCTATCTGACATATTAGTATCATTTTATCTGTAATACTCTATCTGACATATTAGTATCATTTTATCTGTAATATTCTATCTGACATATTTGTATCATTTTATCTGTAATACTCTATCTGACATATTAGTATCATTTTATCTGTAATACTCTGACATATTAGTATCATTTTATCTGTAATACTCTATCATGTATTTGTATCATTTTATCTGTAATACTCTATATTGACATATTAGTATCATTTTATCTGTAATACTCTGACATATTTGTATCATTTTATCTGTAATACTCTAACTGACATATTTGTATCATTTTATCTGTAATACTCTAACTGACATATTAGTATCATTTTATCTGTAATACTCTGACATATTAGTATCATTTTATCTGTAATACTCTAACTGACATATTAGTATCATTTTATCTGTATCATTTTTATCTGTAATACTCTGACATATTAGTATCATTTTATCTGTAATACTCTGACATATTAGTATCATTTTATTAGATCATATCTGTAATACTCTATCTGACATATTAGTATCATTTTATCTGTAATACTCTATCTGACATATTAGTATCATTTTATCTGTAATACTATTAGTATCATTTTATCTGTAATACTCTGACATATTAGTATCATTTTATCTGTAATACTCTATCTGACATATTAGTATCATTTTATCTGTAATACTCTATCTGACATATTTGTATCATTTTATCTGTAATACTCTGACATATTAGTATAATTTTATATGTAATACTCTGACATATTAGTATCATTTTATCTGTAATACTCTGACATATTAGTATCATTTTATCTGTAATACTCTAACTGACATATTAGTATCATTTTATCTGTAATACTCTGACATATTAGTATCATTTTATCTGTAATACTCTATCTGACATATTAGTATCATTTTATCTGTAATACTCTGACATATTAGTATCATTTTATCTGTAATACTCTGACATATTAGTATCATTTTATCTGTAATACTCTATCTGACATATTAGTATCATTTTATCTGTAATACTCTAACTGACATATTTGTATCATTTTATCTGTAATACTCTGACATATTAGTATCATTTTATCTGTAATACTCTATCTGACATATTAGTATCATTTTATCTGTAATACTCTGACATATTAGTATCATTTTATCTGTAATACTCTGACATATTTGTATCATTTTATCTGTAATATTCTGACATATTAGTATCATTTTATCTGTAATACTCTGACATATTAGTATCATTTTATCTGTAATACTCTGACATATTAGTATCATTTTATCTGTAATACTCTATCTGACATATTAGTATCATTTTATCTGTAATACTCTATCTGACATATTTGTATCATTTTATCTGTAATACTCTACATATTAGTATCATTTTATCTGTAATACTCTGACATATTTGTATCATTTTATCTGTAATACTCTATCTGACATATTAGTATCATTTTATCTGTAATACTCTGTTTTTCATTGTTGAAAGTTTAGTCCAAAAAGTCAGTATTTTTCAAGGAAATCATGAAAAGGGTGATCATTTTCTTAATCAAATATTATTCAAGGTACAGTTAATGTACATACTTATATGGTTGTTATATTGTAGTATTTTTAATCAAATATTATTCAAGGTACAGTTAATGTACATACTTATATGGTTGTTATATTGTAGTATTTTTAATCAAATATTATTCAGGGTACAGTTAATGTACATACTTATATGGTTGTTATATTGTAGTATTTTTAATCAAATATTATTCAGGGTACAGTTAATGTACATACTTATATGGTTGTTATATTGTAGTATTTTTAATGCTGTAAGTAAAGCACTAAAAACATTGCAGCTTTGATCTCAGTATGTTAATGATTTTGTGGACGTGCAAATTTCTTAAAAAGTGATTGTTCATTAAAATTTAATTGTTTAAATGTTTTCAGTATATATTATGCTTAATTCTTGTGTTTACAATCATTTTTTTCTATACATATAAGTTATTTTTTTTAATTTTATTCCGTCTTTGAAATCTGGTGAAAACAGAAATTCTCTAGAATAAGATTTACCAGAATATACACACACCTATACAGATACAACAGTGTAAACATGATAGACTGATTGATTTGCTGGACAGTCACAATTGTTTTATAGATCCCATGTGGTTGTCTAAGCAATACATTATAACAGGATTTAATGGTGTGATCTGCTAAAGCCCTTTAGTAATGCTTTCATAACCCTGTTAATGTATATATAAAACTTGATTGGGAAAAATAGACACTTGTATGCTGTTAGGTTTAGGGACATTGATGTCGACTATTGAGAGAGATTCTTTATTTATAAACAAATTGATACATCTATATAATGATAATTTATTGTGGTGTACCTAGCAGAGTCTGTTCAGGGGTTCATATATAAGCTTTCCTTTCTTTGTTGTCATCACTTAGTTTCTGTCATGAAATGAAGTTTGATGCATTTACTGAGTATCCTCTAGTATACAGAGTTGTTGTCCTTTGTTTATTTGTTTCAAATTTCTGGACAATTGATTTAGTATTTTTATATAGTGTACCACAAACATGGGGCATGTTCATTTATATGGTTTGTCAGCATGTAACATTGCAGGCATAAATTAGAACAGACTTGCAAATATAAGTACAGACCTCCAAGTCAAAGCTCATCAGAAAGCACCAACAACTTTGTCCAGCTGGTCAAACCAATAATTCTAAATGACCCTGTTGACATGTAAATGATATATTGGCACATTCAATTTTATCATTATTATTATTTTTATTTGATTTTTTTTTATTTTGATTTTTGTTTTATAGAGATCTGGCCTTTTGTTGTCTTTATTCAGATTTCATCAGCCAGTATGCTATTGTGCTCATGAACTGGTTTTCGACCAAATGACCTTGATCTTTATTCTCTAATAGATGTTGATGCTATTTCCATTTTAGGATGACCACAAATACTACCATTCCCAAATTTTACCCCCGGAGTATGTAGATGACCATTGGGTTGAGCAAAAGGATGCTGTCAAACACAAAACATTGTCTGACAACTACAGAGTTGCTGTGGTAAGTATAACTCCATAGAGACTATCATAAGTACAGCTCAATAGACACATTCATAAGTACAACTCCATAGACGTTATCATAAGTACAACTATATAAACACATTCATAAGTACAACTCCATAGACACATTCATAAGTACAACTACATAGAGACTCTCATAAGTACAGCTACATAGACACTATCATAAGTAAAACTACATAGACACATTCATAAGTACAACTCCATAGACACAATCACAAGTACAACTACATCGACACAATCATAAGTACAGCTACATCGACACAATCATAAGTACAACTACATAGACACATTCATAAGTACAGCTACATAGACACATTCATAAGTACAACTACATAGAGACTATCATAAGTACAGCTACATAGAGACTATCATAAGTACAGCTACATAGACACATTCATAAGTACAACTCCATAGACACATTCATAAGTACAACTACATAGAGACTATCATAAGTACAACTACATAGACACAAACATAAGTACAACTCCATAGACACATTCATAAGTACAACTACATAGACACAATCATAAGTACAACTACATAGACACAATCATAAGTACAACTACATAGACACAATCATAAGTACAGCTACATAGACACAATCATAAGTACAACTTCATAGACACATTCATAAGTACAACTCCATAGACACAATCATAAGTACAACTACATAGACACAATCATAAGTACAACTACATAGACACAATCATAAGTACAACTACATAGACACATATAAGACACTACACTAATAAGTACAACATAGAGACATAGACACTACATCATAAAGTACAACTCCATACATACACACATAGAGACTATCATAAGTACAGCTACATAGACACATTCATAAGTACAACTACATAGAGACTATCATAAGTACAGCTACATAGACACATTCATAAGTACAACTCCATAGACACAATCATAAGTACAACTACATAGAGACTATCATAAGTACAGCTACATAGAGACTATCATAGGTACAACTACATAGAGACTATCATAGGTACAGCTACATAGAGACTATCATAAGTACAACTACATAGAGACTCTCATAAGTACATCTACATAGACACATTCATAAGTACAACTACATAGACACATTCATAAGTGCAAGTCCATAGACACAATCATAAGTACAACTACATAGACACAATCATAAGTACAACTACATAGACACAATCATAAGTACAACTACATAGAGACTATCATAAGTACAGCTACATAGACACATTCATAAGTACAACTACATAGAGACTATCATAAGTACAGCTACATAGAGACTATCATAAGTACAGCTACATAGACACATTCATAAGTACAGCTACATAGACACATTCATAAGTACAACTACATAGACACATTCATAAGTACAACTACATAGACACATCATAAGTACAGCTACATAGAGACTGTCATAAGTACAGCTACATAAGTACAACTACATAGACACACTATCATAAGTACAACTACATAGACACATCATAAGTACAGCTACATAGACACAATCATAAGTACAACTACATAGAGACTATCATAAGTACAACTACATAGAGACTATCATAAGTACAACTTCATAGACACAATCATAAGTACAACTACATAGACACAATCATAAGTACAACTACATAGACACAATCATAAGTACAGCTACATAGACACAATCATAAGTACAACTTCATAGACACATTCATAAGTACAACTACATAGAGACTATCATAAGTACAGCTACATAGAGACTATCATAGGTACAACTACATAGAGACTATCATAGGTACAACTACATAGAGACTATCATAGGTACAACTACATAGAGACTATCATAAGTACAGCTACATAGAGACTATCATAAGTACAGCTACATAGACACAATCATAAGTACAACTACATAGACACAATCATAAGTACAGCTACATAGACACAATCATAAGTACAACTTCATAGACACATTCACAAGTACAACTACATAGACACAATCATAAGTACAACTACATAGACACTATCATAAGTACAACTACATAGAGACTATCATAAGTACAGCTACATAGACACATTCATATGTACAGCTACATAGAGACTATCATAAGTACAGCTACACAGAGACTATCATAAGTACAGCTACATAGAGACTATCATAAGTACAGCTACATAGAGACTGTCATAAGTACAGCTACATAGACACATTCATAAGTACAACTCCATAGACACATTCATAAGTACAACTACATAGAGACTATCATAAGTACAGCTACATAGAGACTATCATAAGTACAGCTACATAGACACTATCATAAGTACAACTACGTAGACACACATATACATACATAGAGACTATCAACTACATAGACACATCATAAGTACAACTAGAGACATAGAGACACACACATAGAGACTCATAAGTACAACTACATAGAGACTATCATAGGTACAACTACATAGAGACTATCATAGGTACAACTACATAGAGACTATCATAAGTACAGCTACATAGAGACTATCATAGGTACAACTACATAGAGACTATCATAGGTACAACTACATAGAGACTATCATAAGTACAACTTCATAGACACATTCATAAGTACAACTACATAGACACAATCATAAGTACAACTACATAGACACTATCATAAGTACAACTACATAGAGACTATCATAAGTACAGCTACATAGAGACTATCATAAGTACAGCTACATAGAGACTATCATAGGTACAACTACATAGAGACTATCATAGGTACAACTACATAGAGACTATCATAAGTACAGCTACATAGAGACACATCATAAGTACAGACACAATAGACACATAGACACAATCATAAGTACAACTACATAGACACAATCATAAGTACAGCTACATAGACACATTCATAAGTACAACTACATAGACACAATCATAAGTACAACTCCATAGACACAATCATAAGTACAACTACATAGACACATTCATAAGTACAACTCCATAGACACATTCATAAGTACAACTACATAGAGACTATCATAAGTATAGCTACATAGAGACTGTCATAAGGACAGCTACATAGACACAATCATAAGTACAACTTCATAGACACATTCATAAGTACAACTACATAGACACAATCATAAGTACAACTACATAGACACATTCATAAGTGTACTTTGAGACCTTACCATTGTTAAAACTGAGAACTTTGTAAGGACAAGTGCAGTCTCTATTTTAGTAAAATAACAGAACTGCTTTTGTCAATAAGTACAACCCACCCCAATATATCGTAAACCTCCCAGACTACCATAAATTTTGTTTATATATACATGCCAAATAAGGATCGCAGTCATCTTTTAGAATCTGATAATGATACACAAGAAACAATGATGTAGATTTATATTTAACTGTCATTGTAACAGTATTTGTTATACTGGAGAGAGTAGCTGTGATCTATGTTGGTTAGAGTACAATTGTTAAAGTACAACCATTAGGGTTTTGCTGTCTTGAGTATAAATATCATTTCACCATTGTGTACATATTGCCATCAAATCACTGAATCCAGGCTATTGTTCCACAATGGACCTTTCCAATATCCCAACATTATGAAAATTCTCTGGCAGTTTCTTTTAAGCCCAAATAATGCAATGAAATTTTGTCAACTCTGCTTTTAAGTGAATAAACGTATATTGAATATTGTTTTGTCTGTGTTCAGATGTAGACCCATCGGATGCTGCTGATTATCTTTGCTGTTCAGTGATAATATTGATACAAGTTTGATCCTTGTGTGATGTTATTGTAAATGTGTAATATGTTATTACAAGTCATAGAGTGTCTAGCTCCTACAGAGTAGGTAATCAGTATGGGATTTTAAGTCGGAGATCAATGGACGAGGGACGAGAAAAATGCTTGAGTTGGGTATGAGCTATAATTAATCTTCGGTTGTCTGTCCCACTATATCATAGAGTTTTGTATTGTCTGGACAGCCAAGACAAGCCTAGGCAGATTTTGCCTGGAAAATAGTTTTGATATATTTTGAAGATATCCCAGAGAAATCCGTTGGATATTTTTTGTGATGAATTGAAATTGTGTTTCAGAATCTGTGATATAGTATTTAGACGTCCTTACTGAGAATATGTTTCTGACGTCAATAAGAGTTCCTAATTCCTTGTATAGGTCACTTAACATTCAGGTTTCAAACAGGCAGATAGATACGTAGATATTATGTATTTAAAAGTCTTAAAATCATAATCTGGTTTTTCTTTCTTTCAGAGTGTACAGATGAGTTTTAATTTCCGCTTCTATGGTCACGAGATAAATTCAGTAACCATAGCAACAGGAGGTGGGTAGACCAGATTTTGTCTCTTGATTGAAGATTTACTTGTCCTTTGTTAACCTGTGTACAAAATGTGTTTCATGCGGCTATAAAGTATGGTTTTTGATCTCATCATATCGCGACAATAGTTGCTGCATTAAGGAGAGTTCCGTTACTGATTGGGTTGCGATATTCGACTGATTGTGCTGGTACTTTGAATGACACTGCTAACACATAGCTCTTTCTAATATCTCTTGAATACTTCTGCACTGACCAACTCACAATTCCTGAAAATCTTTCAAATGCTCCAGTAACTTTTAGATTATCAGCATTTCTAGAACAAAATTAAACAAATGACTAAAGGTAAGAAAGGACAGGGGAACATGTTGCATTCCTAATGCAATTTACAGAAAAGGCATGCAGATATGATAAAAAATCTTTAAAATGTAGTTTTGCCAGAGATTTGTAAAATGTAAGGGTTATTCCAAAATCACTGATGTTATCAGTCTTTCATCTCTGGATGTTTCTATCCTTCTGCAGTTAAACTGAATGGGTAGATATTTCAGCTAGCAATTTCAGAACTATTTGCAGAACCGTGCAGACTTCCACTTCAGCATGACATGTCAACTTTTAAAATACTATAAGAAGATTTATAGAGCTAAATTTTTCTGCAAACTCATGTGTCCACAAAAGTTTTGAAAAACCACAAAAATCCAGCCCCACCAAAATATATGATCTTACAGTTCTGTATAATCCATGTCATGATCGGGCGTGGGGAGTAAGTATATGCTTCTGCTTACTGTGTTTTTTCCTATTTCAGGGTTTCTTTACATGAGTCCTTTTCTTCATAAATGGCTGACGGCTACACAGTACATAGCACCATTGATGGGAAACTTTGACACCACGCTCGGCAACACTTCAGAAATACTTTACAAAGATTACAGTAAGTAATATCAACGACAATTCACATTCATCAGAAATCACAATACCAGAAATATATTCCCTTCCTGGCAATATAACCTTGCTCATATACTCAGATGGTGGTATGGAGAACCTTAAGGAGTGTATTCAAAGCATTAAGCTCTTACAATTTTCAAATCAATACATAAATTTGATTGTTTAAGTATTTTTTTGTTTTTGTTTTGGCACTTTTTGAGATTTAATTCTGATGTTATGGAGTTTCAGCAAAGATAAATTTGAAATTTTTAGACATATTTTGAACTTCTGCTTAGGCAAAGCATTTATCTCCACATCTATCAACACGGAAAGGAGTGAATGTTTCACAAAAACAACCAAGAAAATGCTGACATGTTAACAGAATCTTTAAGTCAAACAGAAATTTGATGAAACTATGCCAAAGTATAAACAAAAGAAATATTTACACGGAGACTACAGGAAAAGGAGTACTGTATATACTGGCCTATAAGCCGGATTTTCTGGAGTAAATTTACAACATCCGAGGTGGGGTACGACTTATAGGTGAGTCATTGACTGTGAGCAAAAAATCACACCATAATTTTCCAAAGGTATGTCATGCTTTAGGACCGAGAATTGTGTAAAATCATGTATATAGTAAAATATGCAAGTACAGTAAAGCCATTGACATCCCACCCTCCCTGTCACGTCCATGCGGGAATGTGTATACATAGTACGTACGGCAATTACGAAGAACAAAAGATCAATCAAGGCAGACCGATGGTCAATTAGCATGGTGTAAACGAGGTGGGTAGCATGTGCACAATGTTTTGATAGATATTAATGATACCATGCCGCGTTGTCCTGATTGGTCCGTTTTCAACATTACACACCTACCAGAACTTCCTTAAGTTCCTGGTTGGACATGTATGCAGGTAGGGCGTGGAAATGAATTGTGATTGATCTGTGTATTTGATCGAAGGACTGACGATCGAACTGTATAATCTTCCATGTTTATAAACACAACAAGAACTTGAAAAAATGTAATGACATTTTATTGAAATACCGTTATGTCTTTATAAATATTGAGAGCAGAAATGATCTTTTAACATTTAATTTAACTGACTTGGCACTCTCCATCTCCACGATCATGACCAACACGTATCGGTACATATCTCATTTCTGAAATAAAAATACTTACGATACATTTCCACCAAATTTTATTCACGATCATTTAACTTTACTTCCAGAGATTTTCACTCGATTTTTTGCCGAAGCATTTTTTGATACCGTCTTATAGGCAGGGTCAGTGTTAAATTCCAAACTTTTAACCCAAAAACGTACCTCCAGCTTATAGGCGAATCGACTTATAGGCGAGTATATATGGTACAAGGAGAATAAGACCAAATGTTGGAAAAGTGGAAAGGTCTTCTATTTCATGAACAACACCTGCCATGTAAATCTTGCTCAATTCATGAGTAAGTACGGTCATGTTCTGAGATAAGAACAAGGGAACCATCCATGAAATCACAGTCATATTAACAAGCATCAAATACATACTACTACATTTGTACAAAGTTATGGAATATTTCTCAATTTCCTTAATCTTCACAATTGTTATTTAATGAAAAATATTATTTTGTAAAATAAAAAAGAAGATAGAGAGAAAATAGGTACAGTTGACCTAATTTATACAACATTACAGTAAAATCATATTTTGATGAGATAGGTAAAAATAGGAAAACAATTCTAGATAAATGGGATGGAAGTTGCTGCAAGGATGTTAATACTTGTCAATTAATATCAGAAGGTCAAGGAAAGGATATATGGAAAAAACAATTACTGGGAGATATATATAAGGTCCTTCTAGATAGAAATTGTAATGTCAGAGTCTTATTTATATCTTACTGACCGGTCATGTGATCAGTCACAGAGATTGGATTACAATGTGTTTATAATGGAATTAAATAATACACTATATGAAATATATAGTGTAGAGAATATCCAGTCAAATTACTTCAATTTTCTCCCTTTTTCTCTGTGTAAATGTAATCAGTATAAGCTGTCTTGTGAAAATGAACTTTTGTGATGTCCAGTGGTGAAAAGATTTCTGCTGAACTTTGAGCTCTTAGCTTTGAATAGCATTGTGAATACATTGTATATGCAGTGCTTTGTTAATGTACTAAAGTATATGAAACGGAACTAGATTAAGTGTTCTTGGAAACAGTTTATTGTAAATGTGTGTCTGTATTGATTTTGAACCCATGCAGCATTCAGAATTTATTATCAACCAAAGATTTTGAAAAAATAAAAATAAAATATAAACTTTATTTATTTTACAACAATTGTGAAACAAGTTATGTCAGCTTATACTCTTGTTGGCCCGGGTGTAAGCGCGCGAGGGGTCTTATTGTGGGAGGAAACCGGAGTACACGAGGAAAACCCACCTGGTCGGGCAGGTGACCCCTTACCTTTTCATGTCTGTTCCAGGAATCGAACCCCCGTCGGCTAGGTGAAAGGCGAGTGCGTTACCACTGCGCCACCCGACCACCCTAAAGATTAAATACTGGTAGCTATGGCCTTATCAGTATGATGTGACAGAGGGGGTGACATGTGACTGTATCATAGTTATGGCCTTATCAGTATGATGTGACAGAGGGGGTGACATGTGACTGTATCATTGTTATGGCAGTTCAGTATGATGGCACTACAAAATAGCTCTTATATGCCACCATTACTCACAGACCATGTATTTATAAGATTTAAGCTGTCATGAAGAATTAAAATCTTAAACAGATCCTCATATTTGAATAGTTAAAAAGACCTATTTATCAAACGATTTCTTTGTTACTCAATGATAAAACTTATGTTTCACACTCCCAGACGGCATTGTGACACAACAATGGAGATCATGGAGAGAGAGAGCCAAAACAATTTCAAGTGTGACGTTATAATGTCCTGATAAAGCAATCATGTGATAAAAAGGTTTGATATCTAATACATCAAACTCGTCACAAATTTTCCATTCTAAATTGCCAAAATCTCATTGAAATTTGAATTTCTTAGGCTCGTTTCATAAATAATGTTTAAAATTGAAACTCATGTACAATCCTATGTATAATGCCATGTTTTATATAATTTCCAAAATGGCACTTAAGTCCAAGGGAAACGAATATCAAAATATTGAAATCTTTCTCATCATGAATGACAAAAATTGGAAATCAAGTTATGTAGAAATTAAAGTTGATGAAATTATCCTGGAGTATGATCCATAAAAAGACCCCATGGCCACCTATATGAGACACATTCGATTCCAACAGAAGACCAAGTAGTAACTACACTTATGGCACTTCTATAGAAGACCTAGTTATGACTTAAGCAGCGCTATTGATAACAATAAAATTATCCTGTAACCGTACAGAATAGTGCTGTTAGGAATAAATCTTCCGTCTGGTAGTTATATCCCCCAAGAAAGGACATATCTCTCTCCTGTATTTGGTAATAATTTGTCTATAAAAACAGTTTCGCCTGTATCATCATATTATCGTGATAAAGTAGACGTCTGCCTGATTCTGTCATGACAGACTTAATAAGAATGATATTAACTTGTGTTCGGTACAGAAATTCTTGTCTATATCAGATATCACTTATCTGTTAGCATGGGTCGTATTTATCAATACTGCTTATAATTCCAAATCTTTTGTGATGAAATGATAGATATTTTTTTGTATTTTGCATGGTCAAATTTTGTAAGCATCCATTGGTAGATTTTTAGCCCATCATTTGATGGTAGGCTATTCAAATCGCCTTGCATCCATGGTCTGTGGTCTGTTTGTCCATCCATTAACAATTTTTTGTTATCACTATTTCTTGAGAAGTACAGGATGGATCTTTCTCAAATTGCAAATGTAGGTTCCCCTTGGTCCCTAGTTGTGTCGGTTTGATTTTGGGATAGGTCACAAAAACATAATGCCTGAAACGTGGCCATCTTGGATTTTGCCTTGTGTTTGTTATCTTTATTTCTTGAGAACTGCAGCATAGATCTTTCTCAAATTTGTATGGTTATGTTTCCTTTGATCCCTAGTTGTGCCTGTTTGATTTTGACTTTGAAAGATTTTCTTGAGAACAACTGTATAGATCTTTCTCAAATTTGTATGGTTATGTTTCCTTTGAACCCTAGTTGTGCCTGTTTGATTTTGGTACCGATCAGAGAAAACAAAATGGCCCACAAGCGACCTTCTTGGATTTTGACTTTGAAAGATTTTCTTGAGAACAACTGTATAGATCTTTCTCAAATTTCATGTATGGATTCGTTTTGATACTTATGTTCCCTTTGGTCTCTCCTTTTGCCCGTTTGATTTTGGGACTGATCAGAAGAAACAAAATGGCTTCCAGGCAACCATTTTGGATTTGGCAGGTAAAGATTATCATTGCTATTTCTTCAAAGGATTGTTCAAATGTCTTATCATTAAGAGCAAAACCAGAGGAGAGAAGAGAAAAGAAGGGAAAAGCTCCAACTTTCAAACACCAAATAAAGATCAAACAATGGTGGGTGCCAAGATCCCTCTGGGATCTCTTGTTAGCTATCAAATCCATATTTGTTCAACTGAGGAAAATAAATGACCAGATATGTTTGTTTACATGACTGTATAAATTGATACTCGTTATTCTGTTATCCTCCCTATTTCCTGCAGTAGTGATCATCCTTTCCAGTGCACAAGTTTATACCATATTTTCTATGAGAGAACAAGATATTTCTGTTAAGCTGTGATAAGAATTGAACTTGGTTGTCCAGCAGGATTTTCTATCAATCATATTCGTTGCACCGACCTAATCCTTTTGCAAACTTCGGCATAGAGTAAAACATCTTTCTGTTGTCTGGCACTGCAACAGGAATCAAAGTCAGGTCTAAATGACGAAGAGGTTTTGCTGAATTCCATTGCACAAGGTTATGGTCTATAGCTGTGACAGTAATCTGTCTGATTTCAGCTTTGTGTCTTAAATATTGTTACTAAATTTTGTCTATCCTTGTGTTACTTATAAGTAAAAACAAAGAGTTGTGGGAGTGAAATAAGAAGAAGCTTGAATTTGTTCTTCTTACAATCTGTTAATAAAGACGGTGAGATTGCACTGATTTTGTTGTGGTGGTGAAAGTTGGCAAGGAGTTCCACATTCAGTTAAATTATGGTATCGCTCCATCTGTAATTTGTTCAATGAATTAGATGAAAACATATTGAACACAGAGATGGAAATTGATTACCAATAAACAAGAGAAGAAAACAGTGTTTGCCATTAACAACATTACCACACACTATGGGTAGGGGCTCATGCTATACCGAGATGACTCTAATCTTCTTTAACAATGCAATTTGAAAATAAAACTTTTCTCTAAATCTTCATTTTGCTGATGATTTTGGGTGGCCAAGTCATCGGCATCACTAAGTGCCAGTGCCTCTCTACAGGATATAACTTCATCATTAACTCTAGTGTATATATGTTTGTAGCTATTTTATGATCTATTTTGTTCTTCAAAATTATTTTGTTTTTAAGATAAGATGTGTGAGTCTTGTATTGATCCAGGCTTTAAGAAGATCTGCTGGTACCCACATATGTTAATTTTGACGTGTTACCATGGTTACAAGTTTTGGACTCTAGAATGCAATAGATATTCAACTACCTGTATATGAATGATGTAATGATCTTCTGGAGAAGCAACTTTAAATTTTGTAAAAGGAAAAAGGGTTGCATACAATGCTAGTTTTAAACAGTAACTTCACCTCTACTGGGAGTAACATCATCAAATTTTTCCCTCATAACACATTTTTAAAATTATATCGTTTATCAACCAAGGTCACATCATCAGGCAGTTAAGGTCAGTATTACACTGTAAAGGTCATACTGTTGAACAATCTTATGTCACATGGTCACAAAGTCACAGTCAGGCTGTTTACCAGACAAGGTCATAGTCACAGTCAAGTTCAGACTCGTAATCAATCAAAGTCACATGGCCACACAGTCAAGGTCAGTCACATGGCCACACAGTCAAGGTCAGATTTGTATTCAATTAAAGTCACATGACCACAGAGTCAAGGTCAGATTTGTATTCAATCAAAGTCACATGGCCACACAGTCAAGGTCAGACTTGTAATCAATCAAAGTCACATGGCCACACAGTCAAGGTCAGATTTGAATTCAATCAAAGTCACATGGCCACACAGTCAAGGTCAGATTTGTATTCAATCAAAGTCACATGGCCACACAGTCAAGGTCAGATTTGTATTCAATCAAAGTCACATGGCCACATAGTCAAGGTTAGACTTGTAATCAATCAAAGTCGCATGATCCCACAGTCAAGGTCAGACTTGTAATCAATCAAAGTCACATGGCCACACAGTCAAGGTCAGATTTGTATTCAATCAAAGTCACATGGCCACACAGTCAAGGTTAGACTTGTAATCAATCAAAGTCACATGATCCCACAGTCAAGGTCAGACTGATTATCAAACAAGGTCACATGGCCACATAGTCAAGGTTAGACTTGTAATTGACCAAGTTCAGATGGTCAAAGCCAGTCAGAATTTACCAGACAAGGTCACATGGCCACACAATCAAGGTTAGACTTGTAATTGACCATGGTCAGATGGTCAAAGCCACAGTAAGAATTTACCGGACAAGGTCACATGGCCGCACACTCAAGGTTAGACTAAATCGACCAAGGTCACTATCACTAATAGTTTTGGGAATAAAGGTCACAAATTGAATGAAAGAATATTAAACAGTATTCCTGATGAAATGTAATCTGTGACTTTCAGTGTTAAACATGGCTGATATCACCATGGTTTTTGGACTGATTCGAATTCAAGATGGCCGACAGGTGGCCATCTTGGATTTTGGATGTAAAAGATTGTTACCGCTATTTCTGAGAAAGTACTGGATGGATCTTTCTCAAATTTCATATGCAGTTTCCCTATGGTCCCTAGTTGTGCATTGTACCTTTTTTGGACTGATTCGAATTCAAGATGGCCGACAGGTGGCCATCTTGGATTTTGGATGTAAAAGTTTGTTACTGCTATTTCTTGGAAAGTACTGGATGGATATTTCTCAAATTTCATATTTTTTTTTGGTTCCAAGTTGTGCATTATACCTTTTTGGACTGATCCGTTATCAAGATGGCTGACAGGCAGCCATCTTGGATTTTGAGAGTAAAATCTTGTTACTGCTATATCTGAGGAAGTACTGGATGGATCCTTCTGATATTTCATAGATATTGGTTTCCCTTGGTCCCTAGTTGTGCATTTTACCTTTTTTGGACTGATTTGAAATCAAGGTGGCAAACATATATTGTCCATTATCCACCTGTAACTGACTGCTATCTAATAATACTTTGGGATCTTTTTCAAATGATATTTGCTAATAAGTGCTTAATAAAAATATCTTGTGCCATCATTGAGTACATTCAATGAAGACCAGTTCATGAACATTTACAACACTTGTAACAAACAAAAAAAAAAATAAACAAATCTTCAAGAACTGAAAATAGATCCTCAAATGGTGGGCGCCAAGATCCCTCTGGGATCTCTTGTTTTCTCTTAAACCCAGTTGTCGTGAAAATATGAAAATATAAATGAGATCATTGAGCAATTAACTGACAATTACTTCCGTGAAATTGTCAAATAAATGGAGTTTGTAAAGAAAAAAGACACTTGTGAGAAAAGGTTATTCAGAGAAATTTAATTTCAAGACAAACTACAACACACACTCAGAAAATAAATTGTATTCAATAAAAATTGACATGGTAATATTGTATCTTAATATGAAGTTTTAACAAGTTTGTATGCTTAAATCAACTACCCTGTAATTGAACTTCAGCTGTCACTTGAGTAAATTACTCCTCATCAATGTAATTATGTCTTCGCTTAAAAATGGGAAAGTCCTTTGAATAATTGGTCTGTTGTAAACTATACTGCAATGCTTTTAAAACTGTTTGTCGAGAACCTTATTGCTGTCTTAATAAACATTTGTAGCAAACTACATAACCATATTTATCCCACTGTAACCAATGCCTGGTAATAAGCCCAGTCATTCCGATTGCCATTCAGAACACTTACTAACATGTGCTATTTCTGTGTGATGCAATAAGCCCATCCTCCTGGCATTGATTCAGGGGGAAATGTCGACACCCAGAGCTTCATGCAGGATGGATAACTAAGGACAGGCTTCAAAATTGTATGAAAGATGAAAAAATTGGGTTGACGATTTTATTTTTTGTTCAATACCATTACACCATCATCTATATAGAACCACCAACGGCATGACACCACTCCAATATGTGTTCAAGATTTCTTTATGATTTTGGTTAGTTTGGAGGTAAAAAATTGTTTTGTGACAGGTATTTACACACGCATATCTGACTCATGTCCTCAGTGCCATACATTGTGTAAATGTCTTTAAAATCATAACCTTAACAAGAGAATCTAGGATTCATTAATAAAACATATGGATCCCAATTCAGCAGTAAAAGCATATAGACAAAATGAATTGAAGGATTTCGGGTGTTTAGAATTCCTTTACTTTTTAAAATCGAATGTATATATTACATACATTCTTTGGTTCGTGGTACTAAAATGTTTCAAGTATTTGCATACAAAAGTCCAGATTTTGATATTTATATGTACATAAAATGTTCGGACTTCATGAAAGAATTTAAATACACAATTTATAATTATTACCTCTGAGGTAGGGGGAAATAGCTGATGAAAATATGTATTTGTGGTAGAAGCACATACTATGTGATGTGCACAAAACAAACAGCATTTACTACCTGTAGTTAATTACACACATGATGACGAAGGGCAGTACTGATAATATTCTGTTTCATTATTGTCTGTCTGGTGGGTTTCATTCATTGGTCTTTATCACTTGCTGCTGAAGTTATTTTCTGTAAGATTTCTGATTTCTCTAATTGGTCACCAGTTTGTTTCTGATCATGAGGTGTTGTTGGTAAGTGCATGTGGAATGCTGTGTCAAAATAATGTTCATTACGTTTCAATCAATTGTGACGGTTCAATCAATTGTGACGTTTTTATTATGACAATTTGATATCACCAACTTTAAAACCATGAGGAAATCTAGGCTAAATTAACAATGCATTGTAGCTGTATGAGATGTAGGGTCTGAATCATCTTGGACAAGGTCACTGACCTTACTGCATATAGCTGTGTCCAGTTGTTGCTTCCCTGTTAAAATAAAAGAAAAACACACTTTTCGCTGTCATACATCATGATGTAAAAAATACACAACATACAAAGGTAGACTTCACTTTTAAACAATTTTGAACGTTTGTAAATGAATATAGGCATGGCTTTTGTAATAAGGTCTCATTAGGTAAATAGGGTATTGATCTCTATTGACTTTAATTTGATATCACGTGCCATGTGACATGGGTTCTCATTTAAAACAGGCATATTCACCAAACTAAGCTAAAGGGGATTAGAGCAGCTTTTGGTGTCATCTGTGTGCCAGGAGAAAAAGGATACTGCAGATTATATTCTTTATTGCGTCATTGTGACCATAATCATTTAACACTTATTGCTGTCTTTGGTATGTGATGGACCTCCAGTATATTGTTCAATGAGGTAACCTTCAGCTACTAGATCAGGTGAACACAATCTAACAATAACAAATTCTTTTTTCCAGATGACATGTTTATTGTGGAATGGAGTGACATATATTTACAAGACCAGAACCACAGTAAGTACAGTGTTAACCAATAGACCAGAACCACTGTAAGTACAGTGTTAACCAGTAGACCAGAACCACAGCAAGTACAGTGTTAACCAATAGACCAGAACCACAGTAAGTATAGTGTTAACCAATAGACCAGAACCACAGCAAGTACAGTGTTAACCAATAGACCAGAACCACAGTAAGTACAGTGTTAACCAATAGACCAGAACCACAGTAAGTACAGTGTTATCCAATAGACCAGAACCACAGTAAGTACAGTGTTAACCAATAGACCAGAACCACAGTAAGTACAGTTTTAACCAATAGACCAGAACCACAGTAAGTACAGTTTTAACCGATAGACCACAACCACAGTAAGTACAGTGTTAACCAATTGACCAGAACCACAGTAAGTACAGTGTTAACCAGTAGACCAGAACCACAGTAAGTACAGTGTTAACCAGTAGACCAGAACCACAGTAAGTACAGTGTTAACCAATAGACCAGAACCACAGTAAGTACAGTGTTAACCAATAGACCAGAACCACAGTAAGTACAGTGTTAACCAGTAGACCAGAACCACAGTAAGTACAGTGTTAACCAATAGACCAGAACCACAGTAAGTACAGTGTTAACCAATAGACCAGAACCACAGTAAGTACAGTGTTAACCAGTAGACCAGAACCACAGTAAGTACAGTGTTAACCAATAGACCAGAACCACAGTAAGTACAGTGTTAACCAATAGACCAGAACCACAGTAAGTACAGTTTTCATTTCAGTAATAATTACCATAACTTTAGTATGCAAAATATGGTACCTACACCCATCTTTGTATCCCAAAAACAAAAGATTCAAAAATCCCGCCCTCCCTACGACCATGAGCCTTCACGTCATGAACATAGAGTTATTTCCCTTCCTCTTATCTTTATGGCTACCGGAGCAGGCGGACGTGCTATATTCAGCTGAGTGCCTTCCTTTTCTTTCTAGCTTAAGTCTAGCTTATAGCCGAGTATTTATATATCGGCTTATTGCTTTAAACCCATCGTTAACTATAACAGTCTTTTGCAGACGTTTATTTAGTTAATATATCCTGCTTTTAGGCCTTTATCGGCCGGCTTTTGTTCGGCCTTTGTTCGGCCATTTGCTATACTCCACGCACCGAGCGCGTATCCACGTGTTTTGCGCTGTTCGGTTTTTTCGTGAAGTTTTTTTTCGCTTTTTATCGGTCGTATTATTTATTCGACCGTATATTTTGCTTAGCTTTTTTATGTTTCGTTAGCTTTTGCTTTCGTTCTTATTTGTTTGTTGGAGTTGTGTTTTTTCACTCCATTTATTTTTGTTACGTTTATTTGTATTAATAACTGTTGTTATTTGATTATTTATTTCGTAACAATTATGGATTCAGGGCTGCGTCGTGGTTCGGCACATGGGTGTTCTCACTTCTACGGAGAGCAGGACCCCCATGATGCCTGTCCCTTATGCCGGCCTTGCAGCGAGGCCTCGCCGTGCGAACTTTGTTTGCACGTTGGGTCCGCTGTAAAGGTTCCCCTACCCAGTCGGCGAACTTCTCGCCGGAAGAGGGATTCGTCCTCATCTTCCGGTAAGAGAGGTAAGCCATCCAGGTTTTCTACCCCCGGCCCTAAGCCGAGGGGTGAGGTTGTCACTGCTGGGGGTGTTCTCACACTGAGCTCCGCCCTCGAGCAGGGGGTGGCTCCCCCTGTCCAGGCGCGTCCTGGTATAGGGGGGGAGCAACCCGACCCTGACTCGGCGAAGTCTAGTGTCGAATCAGCCGGTAGCTCTCGACAGCCGGCGGTGCTACCGTCGGAAAGGGACTTTTGGTCACAGGTCTCTGAGTCTTTCAGGGACCTCGGCACGCCAGGTGGCGTCATTGGTGGGGGCCGCCCTGACGCCGGACCGGTACCCTCGGGTATGGGGTCAGGGGTCACTGATTTTTTGTCGTCAGTGGCTACAGGGATTAGTGACACTGAGTTCACTAATCCTAGTGTCAGTGTGGGGCCTGGGTTCCTACCCTCACAGGTCTCTGGATCTGGGGCTTTTCGCTCTAGTCCAGATTTTCCGGTGCAGGGTTTCCCAGGGGGTTTCCCCCAGGGATTTGGGGCCCCAGGTCAGGCTTCCGGTTTCCGGTCGCCTTTTCCCCCAGGCTCGGTTACACAGGTCGGCCCGTCTGAGGTGGGAGTGGAGGTTCATCCTGGTCCTTTGGACAGGGTGTCCAGCCCTAGGCTCAGGCAGGCCAATTTGGCCACCACTCCCAGCCCGCACGCCCAGGTGGGTTCAACCCCATGGGTCTTCCTTCATGGAACCCTTGGTGGGGAGACGTTTTAGCGTGCTGAATCCCCCCAACGCTCTGCTACTTCAGGGGCCGTTTCGGCCGGTCCTAAAAAGGTTCGCCGGACCTTTAGGCTACGCCTCCCGCGCGGACTCGTCGGTCTCCTGTCCTCAGGGGTTGGCTTCTAAGCATAGAGGAGTCCCCCTCTCCGGAGAGGTCTCCTCTGGCGGCCCCTGTTCCTCCCAGGGCGACTTCGGTCGTTAGCGAGGAGGAGATGGACGCTGAGGGCGTGGGCTTGGCAGAGGATGACGATGTTATCCATCTGTCTCCTGGGTGCTCGGCGATTGATCTGTCCGAGTCATCGGCAGATGACCCTTCCGACCAGGAGGGTTCCCAGGAGGTAGGGGGCTCTGAAACCGAGGCTCAGCATGTTCTTTCGGCCCGGAGCGGAGGTATGCCCACCCCCTTCTGCAAAGAAGGCACCATTGTGTCTTCGGACCGGGTTTTGGAGGTGGTTTGCTCGATGCTAAAGAGCACACACAGGATGGAGTCGAGGGAGTTGGCTGCCTGGCCCGGCAAATCGGTGGACCAGGTGGTGCTCGATGCGCACTTTCCATCCAAGTTCTGTCTTACATAGACTTCCTGACTGTGAGTCTATACAAGGTATCCGACTTGCCTGAGGGTCGGGTACCAGAGACGGAACAGGCCTACATTCAGGACAGGCTTACAGCTGCCCTGAACGCGGCGTTGAGGGCATCGGCGGCCTTACAGGTCTCCCTGCTCGCCAATGTCGTTTTGGCTAGGCGATTTTCTATCTTAAAAAATCGCCCAGTCGAAGAACCTTATCTTTCCCGTCTATTGACTGCCCCCTTCACTGGCTCTACCCTGTTCGGGGGAGCTCTTCCTTCTGTCCAGAAGGATATGAAGGAGGACTCGGTCGCCTCAGCACTCTTGGTGAAGAGGTTTCGTTCCGAGAAGGCCAGCACCTCGCAGGGGTCAGCGCCTCCCAAGAAGAGGGCTAAGTTTTCGGCTGGGCAGGCGTCTGCCCAACCCAAATCGCAGCCACACTTCAATGGCAATAAGGGGAAAGGTAAGAAGGGTAAGAAACCTCCTGGGGGCAAGAAGAAGGGCTCCTGACTCTTTCTTCTCCTTGACCGAGACAGAACAGGGGTCTGGCGGGGTGGACGGCGGTCCTCCCGTTCAGGTCTCTTGTCCTTCTCCCGCAGGCTCAGGCTCCGGATGGGCGGACAAATCTCTGTTTTGGCAGGGACTCGATCTGCCCCAGCCGGAGCTTCCTGTGGGCGGGCGTCTCTCCGCTTTCCTGTCCCAGTGGCAGGAAATTACGGAGGACGCGTGGACATTGTCGGTGGTCAAGGAGGGTCTAGGTATTCCCCTTCTTCAGGATCCACCTCTTACCGCCCAGCCGATCTTCTTTCCTCCTCCGGGGGATTCGGAGAAGGCTCGGGCGATCCAGGAGGAAGTAAGGACCTTGCTTGCCAAGGGCGCGGTATAGGAGATTCCTATGTCGGAAATCACTCCCGGTTTCTACTCCCGAATGTTTCTCGTTCGGAAGAAGTCCGGAGAGTGGCGCCTGATCATAGATCTCAGTGCCTTCAATAGGCACGTAGATTCTCCTCACTTCAAGATGGAGACCCCACGGGGCATCATGGCCTCCGTGAGGGACGGGATGTGGGCAACTTCAGTAGATCTGAAGGACGCCTATTTCCATATCCCCATCAAGAAGTCGGCACGGAAGTTCCTCCGTTTCACATGCAACGGCAAGGTCTTCCAATTCCGGGCCATGCCCTTCGGGCTGACGACAGCTCCCTTGGTGTTCACCAAGCTGCTGCAGGTAGTCGTGGGATTCCTTCACTCTCGCGGAATAGACGTCCACATCTATTTCGACGACTCCCTCATGCTTCACAGGGTGAGGGAATCGTTAGTGAAGGATACCAGGCTGGTCCTGAAAGTCTTACTCAGAGTCGGCTTCATTCCTTCCAGAGAGAAGTCAGAGGTTTCCCCATCTCAGGACTTTGTCTTCCTGGGGAATCGTTTCGATACGGTTCTGGGCATAGCCCTACCACCGGTGGAGAAGTTCAAGAAGGCCAGGGCTCTAGCTCTGTCCTTCATCGAACGGTCGCAGGTCCAGGTACGTTGGTTCCTCAGTTTTCTGGGGTATCTCAACGCCCTGGCAGATGTGGTCCCCCTAGGGAGACTTCACATCAGACCTCTCCAGATGTTCCTCCTGTCCAACTGGGTTCCGTCATCCAGGAAGTGGGAGGCCTGGATAACTCTCACTCAGTCGGTCAGGGAGTTCGCTCGCTGGTGGACCATTCGGGAGAATGTTCTCCGCGGGGTTCCTCTGACCAAGCCTGTCCCCTCTATGACCCTGTTCACGGATGCTTCCATGACAGGATGGGGAGCTTACCTCGACGGCCATTGTCGCTCGGGGGAGTGGTCTGGGGATCAGCTCTCGGAGCACATCAACGTGCTCGAGATGAGGGCAGTTCTTTTGGCACTGCAATCCTTTCGGGGATGCCTGCAGTCCAAGGCGATTTGTGTGGCTACCGACAACTCTACAGTTGTCGCATATCTGGAGAGACAAGGGGGCACCAGGTCTCACGTCCTGTGTGCCCTCTCCATCCGCATCCTTCTTCTCTGTCAGGAGATGCAATTGTCCATTACGGTCAAGCATCTTCCGGGCAGGTTGAATGTGTTGGCGGATACCCTCTCCAGGCGCCGCCAACCGGTGTTGACGGAATGGCAGCTGTGTCCCTCAGTCTTCCGGGGAATTTGTCAGGTGTGGGACAGACCTTTGATAGATCTGTTTGCCACTTCTCTGAACAATCAGCTGCCAACCTTCGTCTCTCCGGTCCCAGATCCGAAGGCTTGGGCTGTGGACGCCCTTTCTCTGGACTGGGACGGGATGCATGCTTATGCATTCCCTCCCTTCAACCTGGTGGGCAGGGTGCTTCAGAAGTTCAGGGAGCATCACTGCTCCTTACTTCTGATAGCCCCCCTGTGGCCGAGGCAGCCTTGGTTTCCAGAGCTCTTGTCGTTTCTGGTGGAGGAGCCACTGGCTCTCCCCACCAGACCGAATCTCCTGCGTCAGCCTCGGTCCAGGACGACACACTCTCGACCAGAGATCCTCCACCTTCACACGTGGAGGCTATCTCTGGAAGCCTCGCCAAGGCAGGCTTTTCTCGAGAGGTGTCAGATCGCATCGCGCGATCTATCAGGGCTTCCTCTTCTGCCGTCTACCAGTCCAGATGGAAGATCTTCTGTGATTGGTGTGTCGGCAGGAAGGTTGATCCATTCGAAGCCTCTGTTCAGCTGATTGCGGATTTCCTACTCTCTCTGTTTAGGGACCGCAATCTGGCACCTGGCACTATTGCTGGCTATAGGACAGCAATTGCCAGTGTCTTGGCTTTTTACTGCAGGAAGGAGATAGGTTCTTCCTCATCTCTTTCTGCCCTAATCAGAGGCTTCGCTTTGGATAGACCCAGAGTTCGGCAGCTGGCCCCGCAGTGGAATTTAGCCTTGGTGCTAGATTCCCTGACGAGGTCACCTTATGAGCCTATGGAGTCTGCCTCTTTGAAGTTTCTAACTTTCAAGACAGTCTTCCTTTTGGCTCTGGCCTCTGGACGTAGGAGGAGTGAAGTGCACGCCCTGTCGTCACTTCCTTCCTGCCTTCGTTGGTCCAGAGGCTACGCTGCCGTTACTCTTTTAACTGACCCTTCGTTCCTTGCGAAGAATCAGGTCCCGGGGTTCTCGCCCGATCCCATCAAGATTCCGGCTTTGACTAGCTCGGAGGAGAGGGATAGATTGCTTTGTCCCTGTAGGGCTCTTAGGTTTTATCTCGATAAAACCAGGGGGGGGGCGGGGCTCCAGATCCCGTCTGTTTTTGCCTATCAAACAGGGACAGCGAGACATCTCCTCCCAGTCGGTGTCTAGGTGGGTATGCCAGGTCATTAAGTATGCTTATGAGCATTCTGATGACCATGCTCGGGCGAGGGTGAGAGTGCGGGCTCATGAGGTAAGGGCCCTCGCTGCATCCTGGGCCCTTCTTAATGGGTCCTCCTTTCAGGAGGTCATGTCTGCTGCCTTCTGGCGGGGCAGGGATACATTTACAGATTTTTATCTGAGATCCCTGGCTTCCCACTCAGAAGGTTTGTATTCTTTGGGACCTCTGGTGGTTGCACAGTCTGTGGCTGTGCCCCCCCGTTAGCCCCGGGGCTCGTCTTTTCCGTTCGGCGGCATGTGGGTTACCTGCTTGGTCACGGGGAGGTTGCCCCTCCTTATTCTATGCACTCTGTCCCCCCTCCCTACCATGTTTAGTGTGCTATATGGGCTGCCTGGCTGCTAGTCACCACTACGGTAAGAAGAATTCGCATACTAAAGTTATGGTAATTATTACTGAAATGAAATTGAGGTTTTTTAATGTAAAACCAATTTTCATGAGGTAATACTTACCATAACTTTATGGAGTCCCACCCTATCCTCCCCTCTTCCTATCTGCCTGACTGCCCCTCTACGGGTGCTACATAAAGGCTAAGAGGAAGGGAAATAACTCTATGTTCATGACGTGAAGGCTCATGGTCGTAGGGAGGGCGGGATTTTTGAATCTTTTGTTTTTGGGATTCAAAGATGGGTGTAGGTACCATATTTTGCATACTAAAGTTATGGTAAGTATTACCTCATGAAAATTGGTTTTACATTAAAAAAACTCAAGTTAACCAGTAGACCAGAACCACAGTAAGTACAGTGTTAACCAGTAGACCAGAACCACAGTAAGTACAGTGTTAACTAACAGACCAGAACCACAGTAATTTTTTATTTGATGAATTGCCTGCTTCAATAGAAGGCTGTCAGGTTTGTTCAAGTAAATTAATTTTATCTTCTTTCAAGATTTCAGAGGTCAAATGAGTTCAAATTTCCATATATTTTCTGAATAGCCAAGAGATGTCTAATGAAATGGAACAAAATTATTATAAAAAATACGTAAATCTTGTAAAAGAACATAGTGTTTTCTTTAAAAATGACCCCTGAAAAAATCAGGTTCTTACACAATGTTTTATATTTCAGCTGAGCAATGATATGGCAAGTTTTTTGTCCCTGAATTGTTTTCAGCTGCTCAATATCAAATCATTGTTACAGGCAGAAGTAGGCTATCTGCTCTGCCATAAACCTCACAAAATATCAATATTTCTCGTACAATTCAGTCATTTTTATTTTTGATGTTCAAAAACATTTAGAATCCTGGATATTGTACAATCTAAAGCGACGACAGTAAAATTAGTGTTACCAAAATTTTTGTGGAGATCAATAGTGCAGTATGTTTACCGTATTTATCTTGTAATAAGCCCAGTGGTCTAACACATAACTGATTACTCAAAATCAAGGGATGGGCTTATTACAGGACACCTAATGATTTAGCTGCAGGTGTTGTCACAATTGAAAACGAGTTATATCCTCGTTTGAATCTTTTGCATCAGAGTTGAAACAGAGATTTCTGGGGCAAATGAATTAGTGTAGTAGTAGAATGTCTGAATTAGGAAAATTCAAACATTTCGACTGCTACAAATATTTTTTCGTAATGAAAGAGTACCAGTAAGATTTTCAAGTTGAAGTGATAAATTCAGAACCAAAGAAACTCTTTGCCTAAATCTTTGTTAATGACTGACAAACAACATACATCTACATCAAATTATAGAATTTTTTCCTGCCAAAATCAGATACATACACAAAAGCTATGATAATGATGAAATCATTAACACCAGCTGTTTGATATCTGTTACCATGCTTTCTTGTTTAAAGTGTTGCCCCAAGGAAATGTCTAAAATTTCCGTCATTTCAAAAGAGTTCCTTATTGTGATAAGTGCAATTGTTATCGTTTCTGAAGAACTGAAACAGATATGTAGGCTGAACTTACTCTATTGATTAATAATCATCATATATGTCTCAGTATTACTTTCCCACATTAGGTTAGGGGGATTGGGAGATATCATAATGACTTCATCTGTGCATCCATAATTAATAAAATCTTTCACTGCGTTGGAAGTGAGATAGGAGGATTAAAAAAATCAAGGAATAGGGATATACCTTTGTGATCCTCTTCTCACTACGTTTTTTTTTTTTTTCTGCCTTTTCAAACTTTTTCAAACTGTGATTTTCTATTTCAGCACACCCATTTGTTTTCCAAACACAGCTGTATCAAAATGGCACAATCAAATTCATATATAAAAAGGTGAGTTTTCATAATCTTACTTCTATTTATCATTTTGGTTTGCTGTGTTTTGAGATTGACAATAATTATCTTTGACTAGGTAATTGGCCTCTGGAGTTAGAAAGACAGAAAAATATGTATTCATTGTTTTGTCATTACTAGGATATTTATGATGTTGAATATTTTCGTCTCATTCGAGATTTTATCGATCGCTAATGGCATGAAATTTTATCCAATATTTTTGGAGTCTTGATATACATAGTGATACAGCAGAAGAAAGCAGTGAATTCCACTCAGCCTATCTAATCATGGTAGGTTAATCATCAGTGATTAAAATGCTTAATAGTTTTTTTTTGCTTGTGGAGTACTTTGGTCTATCTTTCATTGAGAACCTTTTATTACGAGACTCTATCATCAATATGTCAATAACGAGGAAGAGAAAAAATATCAGGAAATTATTGGAATCTAATATAGATTTTCTTTCATTGCCCATCAGCAATTAAGGTTAAACAGGGCCAAGTAAGACAAGACAAAGGCATATTAAGACATGTGTCGAACATAAACAGAACACTTATCAGTGAATCCTGATTTCAAATAGTCTTAACAGGAAAAATATACACAAAGAAAAAAATCTGAATAGAAACGAAATTCTTAGACTGAAGAACAGGAAACTGATAAGAAACTTTTCAGTTTCCTGTTCTTTAGTCTAAGAATTTCGTGATGTTTAATTTTTTTTAAATTGGAAGCAAATGTAGGGTAAAAAGGATGAAAAATAACAATAAGAAATAAGTTTATTGTGTTATATAGTGGTGGCAGTCAAAAGAAATATTGAAAAGAATTAAGCAAAACCAGAAGGAAAAAAAATGGGATGAAAAAAGAATGGATTGAGGAAAGAAAAAAAAATGGGATGAAAAAAGAATGGATTGAGGAAAGAAAAAAAAATGGAATGAAAAAAGAATGGATTGAGGAAAGGAAAAAAAAATGGGATGAAAAAAGAATGGATTGAGGAAAGGAAAAAAAAATGGGATGAAAAAAGAATGGATTGAGGAAAGAAAAAAAAATGGGATGAAAAAGTAATAGTGATTGATATTGGCTCCATATAATTATGAAGGATGAGGAAGTTGTAGACCGGTGAAGCTCATCTGAGAAGCCTTAAGACTACAGTCGGAGTCTAAATAATACCAGAATTACCAGAAAAGATCAGGATGTCAGTAATGTGTATATTAGAGATAGTAAAAATGAAGCAATGTCTGCTACACTTTACATCTAAATCAATGGCTACCAGACTGAGCAAATATCTAATGGTCAGTAATACTGTCAGGAATTTGAAAGTTTTCAGCAAGACAAATTATAGGGTCTTCAAAAAGATAGTCATAGAATATAAGACTCTTTTCTATATGGGTATGTAGGATAGGGATATTCGACCCGAGGGGTCACAAAATGTGGTAAAACCCGAGGCTTGCCGAGGGTTTTTACCATATTTTGTGATCCCGAGGGTGGAATATCCCTATCCTACATACCCATATAGAAAAGATTTTTTTTCTCTCATTTCTAATCTCATATTATCAAATATTTGCACTCACCTTGCGGTAGCCATCACTGGACGCTGCCATTTTTCAGATTTCTATTTTTTTTCCTTGGGCCATATACATAAAAAAAAATGCTGAAATAGATTCTCCATCCCCGAATTTTGCAAACTATGTTTGCGGTCGAAAACATAATATGGACTTTGAATGTAAACATCCAACGTCAGTGTTTAACTGTTTTTTCTTCAAGCGGGCTGGGTCAAATACTCTGTCAAATATATCACCCAGAGACATGCGTACGCGTTCAAATATAGTGCCTTAAATGACGCAATAAAACAACACTTTTCTTTTTAATATTTACTATTGCTCAATGTATAATATATCATAAACACTTTTTACATCTTTGAACATGTTGGTCAAGTTATTAATACTACTTTACTGTCAATAGTTATCTTACAAATCTTACACATTTATGAATGGAATTCTTGGTTTGCTTGTGAGATGACGTCACTTACGTCACACATTTCGCGCCATACCGACAGGAGGAAAGTTAGTCACTGTCACTTTCAATCACACGTGGACGACGGCGGAAAGGCTGAGTCCCAGGGTTGGTGATGTTGATATTTATAGAACAGTTTTGTAAATACGACCCTGCAAACAACGACTCCAATCGACTATGCGTGTTTGTGGATGAAGCGGTTGACGAGGACATAGTCGATGAGTGCGAGGGAAAAAAAACCATGAATTACTCCGCGCGCGAGGCTTTATTACACAGGCGCCTGTGTAATAAACGTCTATCATGACCATGATTATTACCCTGGACAGGCCTATCTGACACAGGTGTAAATGAGAGAATCCTTCATTCCCAGAGGGATTACTGAGGGGAATCTCAACTCAAAGAATAAGATTTTTATAAGTTCACCAATACAAGGCTTTGCTGAATGTGTTGACTTAAGAATCTTATCCCAAGAGTTGAGATCCTCTGTCTGGCTCTCAAGGAGGGAAGTCATCATTATTTTAATCCACACCTGTTGGATCTTGTATTTGAAATAGGTTGACATTATTTGGGAATGATCAGTTCATGACATATCTGATGTGATGTTGTTGACATTACATCATTCAATTTTCGCAGGAGATTCCTCTGCCTCAACAACAGTGTGAGACAAGGAAACCTCCCATCTGTAAGAGTGTGTACTTGTCCAAGTAAGATAAGGGAATAAAGATCGAACAGTACTTTTTAATACAAATTACAGTTAGACACAGTAGAGCTAAACAATGAATTAAATTGCTTCATACAGCTATTTTGTCCCTCTAGGACTCGTCATTGATAAGTGCATAAATTTTGAAGCGTAGGAGGCAACTGAGGAAAATCCAAAGAGATTGAAAGGAAAGTCAAAATCTAATTGGGAAGGTGCACTAGCCCCGAAATCAAATAAATGTCATAATTTCCATATACCAGATAAGTTTAGCATCAGGTCCATGTGTTTATTGTGAATTGTGCCTCTATTTGAAGAAATTAAAACATAGCATGCAGGTTACAATAAAAACCTTGGGTATCACAAAACCTTGTCAACCAGCTTAAAAGTATTGCGGAATATGCTGGAAACAAACATTGACAGATCCTGGACAAGGATGCAGATGGATCAAAGGAGCTACTGATCAGTTAGAGAACACAGGAGGATAATGTGCCTCAAAATAGAGCCAAAAGTGTTGTACATCCATTACTGAGTTCTGTCTACAGATGGAGCCAATAATGTTGTACATACATTACTGAGTTCTGTCTACAGATGGAGCCAATAGTGTTGTACATCCATTACTGAGTTCTGTCAACAGATAGAGTCAATAGTGTTGTACATCCATTACTGAGTTCTGTCTACAGATAGAGTCAATAGTGTTATACATCCATCACTGAGTTCTGTCTACAGATGGAGCCAATAGTGTTGTACATCTATTACTGAGTTCTGTCTACAGATGGAGCCAATAGTGTTGTACATCTGTTACTGAGTTCTGTCTACAGATAGAGTCAATAGTGTTGTACATCCATCACTGAGTTCTGTCTACAGATAGAACCAATAGTGTTGTACATCCATCACTGAGTTCTGTCTACAGATAGAACCAATAGTGTTGTACATCCATCACTGAGTTCTGTCTACAGATAGAACCAATAGTGTTGTACATCCATCACTGAGTTCTGTCTACAGATAGAGCCAATAGTGTTGTACATCTGTTACTGAGTTCTGTCTACAGATAGAGTCAATAGTGTTGTACATCCATCACTGAGTTCTGTCTACAGATAGAACCAATAGTGTTGTACATCCATCACTGAGTTCTGTCTACAGATGGAGCCAATAGTGTTGTACATCTGTTACTGAGTTCTGTCTACAGATAGAGTCAATAGTGTTGTACATCCATCACTGAGTTCTGTCTACAGATGGAGCCAATAGTGTTGTACATCCATCACTGAGTTCTGTCTACAGATAGAGCCAATAGTGTTGTACATCCATCACTGAGTTCTGTCTACAGATGGAGCCAATAGTGTTGTACATCTGTTACTGAGTTCTGTCTACAGATAGAGTCAATAGTGTTGTACATCCATCACTGAGTTCTGTCTACAGATGGAGCCAATAGTGTTGTACATCCATCACTGAGTTCTGTCTACAGATAGAGCCAATAGTGTTGTACATCTGTTACTGAGTTCTGTCTACAGATAGAGTCAATAGTGTTGTACATCCATCACTGAGTTCTGTCTACAGATAGAGCCAATAGTGTTGTACATCCATCACTGAGTTCTGTCTACAGATGGAGCCAATAGTGTTGTACATCTGTTACTGAGTTCTGTCTACAGATAGAGTCAATAGTGTTGTACATCCATCACTGAGTTCTGTCTACAGATGGAGCCAATAGTGTTGTACATCCATCACTGAGTTCTGTCTACAGATAGAGCCAATAGTGTTGTACATCTGTTACTGAGTGCAAGATATCTTTTGGACCTTGACAAATTTCTTTCTTCTATTTACACCGTAATATTGGAACATTAAGTCCTATTCTTGGTTCAATTTTTTGATGGTCATTAGTCAAGGTTTAGGGATCAAAGGTCATTGTTGATAACTTTTGAAATGGACAAATCTGAATCAATGATTTAGATATTTTATGAATTCAGCTATTTGATTTGTATATAAACAACAGTAGAACTTTATTTGGATAAGATTATTGACTACTTTTGAAATGTTCAATAAGTACGAAGTGTTGCCTCAGGTCACATACACTATATTCCAGTTGGAGTTAGGGTAAATATGAGCCTCCACTTACTTTGTTCTCATTGCTTTGGATAGAAAAGTTTTCCAAAGGAGAATGTGCAAAGATGTAATCAATTCATCTTTTAGAAAAGTCTTCATAATTTCAAATTCTCTTGACAGCTTCCTCTTGCAATCAGCGAAATCAACAGAGCTAGCCATCCTGTAAAGATTGGTCTGTCGGATGCATATTACATTGATTCTTCTGTCAATGGTAAGTGTAACCTCTTTTTATTGTATGATGTCACTGATATATTGACTATATCTGTATTGTGTTTTTACTTACCAGTTTGTGTAACATGGCCAATGTTATACAGTGATTATCTGTTGACAAAAAAGGTGGACGCAATGGAGTTGAAATGGTGGTGGACATTTCTTTTTGTTTTGTTTTTTGTCAACATTTGCAAACAGTTTGGATACTGCAACAGATCATCTCCTTATTCATCACTTACTCTCACTTTTTTGGAACATGTCTTATTCTCCTGGTACATTTTCAGGAGTATCCATGTAAATCTGTCTTTATTTTGTCCTGGATTTATTGAATCTGAGTTGGGATTAGGATTCTGTTCACATGTTGGTATTTTCTGTTTTTTTTTTCGGGTTTTTTCTCTTCTTTTAACTAAATTATGATTTATGGTACGGGGCACTGATAGCATATATACAGTTAGTGCGGCACTGGACATTATAAATTCAGGTAAAAATGAAAGTTGCGTATTTTATCCCGTACCAGGGGCAAATGTCGCAGAATGCTGAGATCACAGATTGTCTTGTGCTACTGTAGTTGTGTCCTCTGGTAAAGCACTTTCAGTTACTCTGAATATATACATACATCCCAGATGTTGTTCAGAGCTACTGCATGGATACCTAGCAACCAAAATGACTGTTGACAGAATGATAAACCCATGAATAAAGAATTTTTATGATTAAACAAAAAGACTCCACTACAATGCATTATGCAAGGGCAGGTTAAGATCAAGGAAGTTTTTGGAAATGGCCATGTTACAAATATCTCATTTGTTCAGATTTTATTTTTTTTCACTGTATACGAGTCTGAAGAAAAAGTGCCCTGAAAGAAACATAAAGAGAAAACCCTTCTACACAGTCAATGTCTATATTACAGTCATGCTAGACAAAATGGCTTTTTGACACCTACAGTGGGAAGGTTTGTTACTAATACTTATGTAATATTGATTCTAACGTTGGCAATTGTCGTTCCAGGAAGAGGCAGTTTGATAGCTTAGTGTGGGTTTGTATATAAATAGCATCCTAATGGACATAAAAAAATAAAAACTGACTAAATATAGTGAAGATTAGATGTGAAAGAAACGAAAATAAATGGAATGTCTCCATGTCAGCCATAAGTTTCTGAATTTTTATATCAGGATGACAAGATGCGAGATCTCTTTTGTTGATTTCTAATTTTTTTGCTGGTTTTCTGCACACTAATAAATTCTATTTATCTTTATCACTGAATGGTTTTGTCATAAATCAGTGTGATTGTTGAGATCAACATTGGAGCCTCATGCTCCTTATACAACATCGGAGCCTCATGCTCCTTATATAACTTCCTAAGAGATATACAAGTCACTGTGTTACGCTGTCCATCGTTGACATAATTTTATAGATGTTATCATTGGAATCTAAAGCACTCTGTCAATCCTGTGATCCATAATGGTATCGCCTTCAAATCTGTTGTGGGTTTTATAAGTGTGATTTGTGTATGTTTATGTAACCCAATATCAGCTGGACTGTACCTGTTGTCTTTAAATTGATGTGCGTAAATGTGTTGAAATCTTAGAAAATATCCAGTGAGACATCATTTCAAAGTTATAGGTCTTCCATTTCTGCTGTTTACACAGGTTTTTATTTCACCAATTTCATTTTTCTTGAAAGATTTTCTTCAAGGAAAGGTGTATGTAATCAGCATTACGCCATGCAGATCCTCAAGTTGTAGATATACAATATATCTACTTTTATAAATGACTCTTAAATTCTGTTTCGGTTCATAGCATAGACAGGACATTTCATTTCTCCTATTTCTATTAACCATGAAACTTGATTATGAAAAATTGTCAGAATTATGACGTAAATAAGAAAATGATCTTAATAGAAAGTGTTCATTTCTCAAAAGACATGCTATCAGTATCATGTAGCATTTTACCATTAAAAACATTAATGTTGGTAATCGATTTATATAGGGTAATGTATAATTAGTTGAAATTTCAATAAAATTTTAATAACATTTGTGAGGATTTGTCCTAGATTGTAGGTCAGGGCCCAGAATAAATTTTTCAAAAAATGACCATTCATGTATATTGAATTATTGCCCCAGACTGTCCATCCATTATTGTTTGGTTTCCCCTCGTTTACTCTTTGAAGGTGTAGAACTGAAAGTTTATTCATAGCTTTATTGTGAGAAGATGCAGGTCAGGTTCTAATTTTGTTCCGGTGCAGAATTATGGCCCTTGAACTACAAAAAATAAGAGGGAAAAGAAACATCACATTTACCGTTCATACCTGGGATAAATGGAGATAATGTTCGGGAATTTGGTATGTAGATTTGTAACCTGGAAGATACAGGTCAGGTGCATATATTTTATCCAATCAACTGATTTTTTTCTCAGTTTTCACTCATTTTCTTAAACTATGCTGGATAGGGATTATGGAAATGAAATTTGATATGTTGTTGTATTACTTACACTTAGTCAGGTTATAAGCGAAGTCTGTTATCAGCCCTGGTCACCAGAAAAGTCATGAGTATACACATTACATCACTTGTAAAGCCAATAACAATGTTGGCTCCATGTATTTCTCATTCAGGTTGCTGGTTGGGGCATTGTCACAGACATATTCAGTTTAATTTGAAATTGTCAACATTAACCATTATATCTTAAGGAAACAAGTATCAATTGCTTTGTAACGGACATCTTTGATGAAGAGATAGATACTGCTATTTCAGCAATTTACTTTTCAGGCCTGTAGTGTATAATAAATTCAATGCTGGAAATTGAATGTTTGTCCTAGAGTGACCTTGACAAAATTTCTTTTATGTTATAGATTTTAGGTTCTTTCCTACTTGGTGTTTAGAGGAAAATTAGCTTCGTTCCCTTGAGGCATGCTGTTGTTGGAAACATCCGACATAACATTAGTTCAAATGCAAACTTTGATTACTAAAATCGGAACCTAAATGTAGACACATTTGAGGCTGATTTCAACAGTGGAAATTTCCCAGAATAGTGTATCTTATTCACTATCCCTTTCATCACAGGATATAGACGAGGACAAAATGGCTGCCTGGAGGAAACAACCAATCAGAATATGTCACTTTAAATGTATGCTTTCTCTGGTGTTTCTTATTTACAGCCCGGGTTTAATCAGCTTTTTTATTGATTGTTCTTTTTAATCAGTAAATTGCAGTGGACTTTGAAAATTAAAAAAAATTATACTTAAAAGTCTAGGAAGCTTCCTGTGAAAAATCTTTTAGAGAAATGGTATTAATTTGATGGCTTTTTATAGAGAAAGATTGAACGGATGTCACACGCACAACAGTGACAATCTTGTGTAAAAAAAATTTTTGCTGTGATTTTGTAGAATCCTGGCGGAAATTCCAATAAAATTGCCCAGATTGTATAAATTGTATCAGCTGATGGCTGATACTTATCCAGATTTTCAGGAACATGCTTCCCGTCAGGCAATATATTAAATTATTCTGTCATTCAAAACTGCATTTAAGGATACATGTATATACAAAAAACCTTGTCAGAAAAGGTCATTGGTTTCCAGTCCCAGTGTTATACAGTTTGTATGAGACCTCTGTATAAAGGCCATCTGTCTATAAGGGCCATTTTTCTGCTCTTTAGAGGACCATTAATGACAGGCTGGACTGTATTTGGATGGAAAACAAATAATTTAATTGCAAAAAGAAATTTTGTATGGACCTTTTCTAATTTATGAAATTACATAATTTCTTCCTCTTGGGGTCAAAGGTTACATTTTGATTGACTGATTTCAAGATAATATTCTTATGACCTTACAATTGACCTTTAGTGAAATTTCAAAGGACAACTTTTATTTTGCATTTTTGGATATTTTTCATACACATATAAATAATCAGTTCATGGCTGAAATTAAGATCAGCTACATAATTTGTCCTATTTAAATGCTGTTTAGGGTTTCACTTGTTAGAAGCAGGAGAGTTAGAGTTTTCATTGCAAATAAACCCAGGTACCCAACATATTACTTCATAGTCAAAATCAAGGGATGGGCTTGTTAAAGGACAATAAGCCCAGGCATGTTACATATTATTCAAAGTCATGAGGCGGTCTTATTACAGGAGAATAAAAATAGGTACCCAATATATTATATCTCTCTCAAAATTAGGGATAGGATTTATTACAGGACAATAAGCCCAGGCACCCAACATATTACATCTTACAAAAGTGTAATCAAAGTCATGGGATGGGCTTATTATAGGACTACACACCAAGACACATCACTTCTCACTCTAAGTCAGGGGATGGGCTTATTATAGGACAATAAGCCAGGCACATCACTTCTCACTCTATATCATGGGATGGGCTTATTATAGGACTACACACCAAAACACATCACTTCTCACTCTAAGTCAGGGGATGGGCTTATTATAGGACAATAAGCCAGACACATCACTTCTCACTCTATATCAGGGGATGGGCTTATTATAGGACAATACACCAAGACACATCACTTCTCACTCTATATCAGGGGATGGGCTTATTATAGGACAATACACCAAAACACATCACTTCTCACTCTAAGTCAGGGGATGGGCTTATTATAGGACAATAAGCCAGACACATCACTTCTCATTCTGTATCAGGGGATTGGCTTATTATAGGACAATACACCAAGACACATCACTTCTCACTCTATATCAGGGGATGGGCTTATTACAGGACAATTAGCCAGGCACATCACTTCTCACTCAAAGTCAAGGGATGGGCTTATTATAAGCCAGGCACATCACTTCTCACTCTAAATCAGGGGGTGGGCTTATTACAGGACAATAATCCAGGCACATCACTTCTCACTCTAAATCAGGGGGTGGGCTTATTACAGGACAATAATCCAGGCACATCACTTCTCACTCTAAGTCAGGGGATGGGCTTATTACAGGACAATAAGATATCACTGGTTTATAATTTTTCCAAACATGTAAGAGGTGACTTATTGCCAGACATGGGTTTATTGTAGAATAAATATTTCCTATTGGTTATACGTCAGTAATAGATATTGGATATGTAATGGGGTTATAGAGATAGACGTTAGCTATATAAATTTGATGATAAACTCCAAGATGAGTTGTTAGTGCTATGATTGTCGCTGAGATTCAGAAATGTTGTTAAGGTCTTCAGGAATGCTTAATCTTGTTAGTATGTTGTTCTCAGTTTAGGACCAGATTGATTAGTAATTCGATTTGAGCTGTAATCATGTCGGATTTCCAATCCGTCGTCGCTTCTACATATAGGAGTTGGTTGTGAATATGTTGTGATGTTGTCTTGCAAGGACAGATGTGTGTGACAAATCTCAGTCTCCATGGAAACGGATGTAGATGTCAGATTTCTCTGCTAATTTGTTATTTTTAACACATCTTAATGGATGAGATTATTTAGGTATGAGGAGTTGGTCCCCAAGTTGTCACGTCTATGAGAGCGTTGACTTACTGGTGTACACCACATCACTGTCGATAAACACATCAGAATTCACCAGCCATTTAATAGACAAAGTAATTAAAGTACATGTAGATATTTTCTAAGACTTCTGTTTTTTGGGATAGAGGATGATCATCACTGATTTACAGCATTTCTTCTAATTTGGGGGGAATAAGAATTTACTTTATATAAAAAAAATGATTCCAACAATATTTCTTAGTATGTTCCTGAAAAGAGTATATAAGAATTACCACAAGTTTTCATATTGATAGCAGATGTTTTGAGAAATCTGTAAAAAGATTTTTTTTTATCTTTTTCTGTCCTTTTATACCAAGATTATTTTTTCAATCCTTTAAAGTTGAACAGGTATGTGGTGACCTCTATGACTGGGTATTCCATAATGAAACCCCTTGTACCTGGGCCATCCAGAATGAACTCCTATATTTTGTTGCAGATTGTGTATTAATTACGTAAAATAGATGAAAATTATGAGTGAGACATGATTCTCTAAGTGATATAAATGCTGAATCTTATGTCAGCAACTGGTTACATATTTTTATACCGAGTTTGTTTCAGGTTTGTTACACATACATTATTTAATGCAATGAAATTATTTATCAAGTAGATTTCCAGGTGTGATGTATTCAAACAGAAATATCTGTCAAAATAATTGAAAAGATAATAAAAATGTTGCATAAATAGTTTACAGTTGTAGGGAATTTCCTTAATCTTGGTTGCTTGGCATAAAACTGAAAAGTCTGAGGGCACTGTTCTTATCCAAGGAAAAAGCTTATGTTCTGCATTTTTCATTAGTCAAACTTCTCACAATAGAATATTTATTATATAATATGTTATTTTTCATTGAATTGTGTATTTTCATTCATTCTGTATCTAAAACTATTACTTTCTAGGCACAGCAAGAAAAAACGGGACAGAACAAAAATATTCTGATTATTCTGAAGGTAAAATCCATCTGTCAGCATGACGTAGCCCACAGCATCATGGGTAGTCTGCGTCTGTCAGCATGACGTAGCCCACAGCATCATGGGTAGTCTGCGTCTGTCAGCATGACGTACCCCACAGCATCATGGGTACTCTGCGTCTGTCAGCATGACGTAACCCACAGCATCATGGGTACTCTGCGTCTGTCAGCATGACGTACCCCACAGCATCATGGGTACTCTGCGTCTGTCAGCATGACGTACCCCACAGCATCATGGGTACTCTGTGTCTGTCAGCATGATGTTTGCCAAAACATCAGGGGTACTCAGCATCAGATTGTTGTAGAGAACTACAAACATTGAAGCATGCTGAAACAAAATATTTTCAGGGGGAAAAACAAAACAAAAATTATGACTGTAAATGTGTACTAACAAAGCAGATTATCTGTCACTGAGATGTTAGCATGATGTGAGAACACATGGCATACCTTTTTAGGTTTACTACGTGTCGCAAAGATCATTAAAAGATTTTTTTGTGGGAAAGGAGTTATTTTGCAAAGTACATGTAGTTTGTGGAATTTCATTAGCTCAGAAAATATATTTCTGAGCTTGCCTTCATTAGAATAACAAATTCTAGCATTTGCCTGAACTGCATTTCTGAGTCTTTCCATAACAACCCACAATGAGTTCTGTGTGCATGCTGTCGTAACATTTCCACATTAAGATGACATTTGAGTGAATGTGACGTAACGGTATACTTAGTTTAATAACAAACATAATTTAGGTTGTGTGCTATAACAATAAGGTTGTGATCATCCATGCATGATATTTCAGGAAACATTAACAGTATCATACAGCATTATCAGTCAGGCATGCAACAATTGTCCAATCCTCCTTGATATAGGATCACTGATTGTTAGTATTTTAACAGTATGTATGAATTAAATTCTACAATATGCTACATTGGATTGATTTAGACAAATAATCCTGTAATTGTAACTTTCCAGATCACATAAACATCCATCTTTTTTACACTTTGTGTTTTCATTACATTATACTTAAGTCCATGGTAATTGTCCTTCCATAAAGGTCATACTGTTAATTACATTTTGTTTCCAACATTGAAGATGAGACACAATACATCAGTAACCTTTACAATGTAACAGAAGGTATTACTTAGCGATTGTAAAGAGATCTCTGATTGGTTATAGGTGTATTGTAAAGAGATCTCTGATTGGTTTGTATATAATCCTAGGATGTTATTTATAAATAGAGCTTTATTTGGTTAGTTCACGGTAAAGCAAGGTTTGATTTGTAAATTCTAGGATGTCACAAAGCTTTCTAATTGGCTGCAAAGCTATTATGCATAGATAGCTGTTGTTGGTAAATTCTAGAATGTTTATTCATAAACAGAGCTCTTGCAACATCAGTTTGTCCATGGTAAAGAAAGCTTTGATTTGTAAATTCTCGAAATAGAGCCCTCTCATTGGCTACAAGGCTATTATAGACAGCTGTTGTTTGTTAATCCTAGGATATTAAAAAAGAACTCCAATTGGCTAGTCCTAGGATGGTAAAGAGAGCTCTGATTGGTTAATCCAAGGATATTTTAGAGACCACTAATTAGGTGCTTTGATACCAAATAGAACATGGATTGGTTATACCTAGAAAGATTTCATTGAATTGGTTGCTTTCTGCTGGTATGAGAGTGTAAGATTTGTATACTTTATAGAGCTTAAATTATTGGTTATTATGCCATACTCTGATTGGTTACACCTGGGTTATTATAGACAAATCTGATTGGTAACTCTCATAGTAATAAAGAGAACTTTGATTTGTTAATACTTGGATATTGTAAAAAGTGCTCATTGGTTAATACTATGATATTATATAAAGAGCTAATCTATAGATAGCTCTCATTGGGTAATCTAAGGATATTATAGGGATCTCTCATTAGTGGACAAAAGGATAATATAGAGATTTTGATCGGTTAAACCATGAATATTACAGAGAGATGTGATTGGGTAATCCCTGGATATTATAGAGAGCTCTGTTGGGCTTGGCTAATCCCTGGATATTATAGAGAGCTCTGTTGGGCTTGGCTAATCCCTGGATATTATAGAGAGCTCTGATCGGGCTTATCCCAGGATATTACAGAGCTCTGATTGGCAGATCCAAGGATGGTGGTATATTTCTGTTATTCAAATGAAGGAATGTCCGTTTGACAATAGCTGAGAACTCATCTGCAACTGAAGCATAATGTATATAATTATAACATGCCTTTTAGTCTCTCCAAAATTCATGATAGGAATTTAAATAAATAAAGGGTGATCCACATTCCTCATGTGGAATTTTAGGGTTGCGTCCTCGGATGGATCCGTATAAGATGTTGAATGCTGTACTTTTAACCAGCATTAAAATTGAAGGAAAAAAAAACTTATCTATTTCTCAGTGATGACAATCTTCTGCCTTGCTACTCATAAATGTCAGAGAAATGAAGATTCTAACATCCATTTAAATTGTACTAAATTGAGACATTCATTGATAAATAGATGGCGCATTCTCAATTTGAATTTATAGTGATGTATACTGACATTTTTATTAATCAAATTGTCATTCTCTCAACATGTTTATGGATTCTGGAGAAGCAGTTAGAAACTGCATGTTATTCATCAATGTAGAATTTTAGCCTAGTTAACACACCTTCACTTGTTAGCATGCTAACTTCCTGTACAAGTCGTTGCCCATTCCTCTATTCTAATCCTGAGTAATGGAATTTTGTCACCAGGGATCGGAAAACAAATCTTGTATCAGGATTTAAAAGACCATCAGGTTTCTCCGACGTGATTTTCCTCTCAGTTGTACTGTTAAATTACACTAAAGTACAAAGAGATGCCCCAGGTTTACCAGTAGGTAAACAGCAAAGTACTTCTGATCTGAAAAGTTTTTTTTTATTTTTTTTTTTTATTTTTTTTGTTATCACAGAAGACCTGATTTGGGCTGTTGTAATTTAATGCTACAGGACTTTGATGATTTTTTTCATGTAGCCTGTGTTAAAAATCTGTTGACATGTCAAGAGAATACTTGAATAAATGACAATATTTTGTAAATTTTAATCTTTTCAGAGCTAATTGAGTTTATTCCATATTGTGAAATAACACCAAATGGTTGCCCTGTCCCTTAACCCAGATTCTACTGTCTTAAACATTTAAAGAAAGCAGTTAAGTCCAGAATAATGTAAAGGATTTTAACCAAACATGATATTGATTGATGAACCCAGGATCAAGAAAATTTGATATTGTACTGCAGGAAGTTTGTGATTTCCTAAGAGGCCAAACTCAACATTGGAACTTTGAGTTGATGTTTGAGTTGATGTTTTGTTTTAATGAAAAGGATTTTGATTTGGTCTGGCATTATACACCTCTGAGATTACTGACCGCTCCTTATCAGTGTATAAATAGATGAAATGCCCCTAGGGAGAGAAACAGAAATCAGATATAAAGGAGGTAATCTTCCAATGATTTTCCCTATTCTACATTGGAACGAATTTTCATCAAAATTTTCTTTTTTACTTTCCTGGTGTTCAAAGCAGCATGATTCAGCTTTACCTCCTCGAGACCACACTTAATATGAATAGTGCTGCCAGAGTCCTTGACAGGTTCTGTTAATTTCTAGATTTGTTCAAAATAGCCTTAAAAAAATTTTTCAACAAATTCTGATGCCAAGATGAATTTCAACCAACTTTAATTGCAAACTCGTGCCATTGTCGTTTACAGCAATAAATTTTGATGATCACCTTGGTTTCAAGTGGTTGGAAAGAATTTTTAACTATTTGAAATAACATACAAAAAAAAAGCACAAACAAACAACAAAACAAGTGAGCGTTAGAGACAATAATTATGGTCCTCTTGTCTTTACTAAACTTTGAATTAAGGAATGCTGGTCTTCAAGCATTTCTCCCTGTGGCCTAATGGTTATTGACTCAAGGACAATCTTGTTCTGACAAAACAACAGCCGGGGGCTTTCCAATCTTAGTCACACTCAGAATTTATTTTTGTGGGTTTTTGCAACATTTAAACTGTAATACTTTTCAACACACGTTCAATACATCTGCTTAGAAGTATTCACTAATCTAAATGAGAGCTGGCAGTGATTTTTGGCAAAAAGCAGCATAACTTTTCAATTGATAAAAGGCAGAGAAAAATAAGCAGTTTAATGAAAATTATTTGTAAAGGAATTTAATTTACAAAACACAAAGAATTTGATTTTTTGCGTTCTGAAAGAATCCATCATTTGAAAGAATCCTACATATGAAAATCTCCAATATCACAATGTTTTACTCCCAAATATGGTAAAACTTCCGACTGTTGGACCCGTGTGAATAATACAAAATTATGCTCATGAATTTTCTAGGATGTTAATAATAAAATTATTATTTTTTTCAATACTTGGCTCTTCTGCAATATATGTTAATCGACTGTTCAGAAATCTACATGTTTCAATTTGATCTTCATAACTTTGGATACTGTGACAAAGAAACCAGCTTGTAAAAAGCACAATTCAGTTTGTGTATTGGCAGGAGTTGACAGTGACATACTGGTATGCTGAGTATGGATTGAGACTTAATATGTTTGACTACAGATTAATGTTCGTTAAAATTTTTATGAATTTTACAATTATTAAGAAAGTCTTGACGTAATTATCTTCTCAAGATGTGACGAAAGGCATGCCAACATCTCATAGTCTGTATATATTTACAGAATGCTTAATTAGCTTGTAATACAGAGTTGGGGCTTTAAGTTGTGTCAGTTGGTGCGCACACCATCTTACGACAAGATGTGAAATAAATCACACCTACACATCAATGCTTATTAAGTGACATGTATGTGTATAATCTGACACTGTCAATTGCTTACGATAGCCATATACAGCCTGCTACCCAGTGTTGAACATAGATGTGAATAGTGACCACATGGAGCGATTATTGTGATGCCAATACCTTTATCAATAACAGTAAGACATGTGGTCTCACAATCTGTTTGAACAATATGAAACATAAGTGAAACAAACTAGAAAGGATTCAAACTATCACTACACAGAAAATTTTTGGTTTTATTATAAAGCCATTGTGCTTCGTCCATCGTCATCCGCCGTGTGTAAACTTTTGACATTTTAAACTTCGTCTTATGTTCCACCAGTGGGATTGAGCTCAAACTTGCATGAAAAGATCCTGATATGGTCCTGATCAAGTGTTGTTTTTTTTCCTGGTATGTCTGAAATCCAAGATGGCCACCATCTTGAAAAACATATCTTACATTTCTTCTCCAGTTCTACTGGTGCCATTGAGCTAAAAATTGGTGGGAATGTTAGGGAAAGGTAGCCAACAAAGTGTTGTTATTTTTGGCCATATCAAAACTTCAACACGGCAGCCAGGGAGGCCATTTTATAACATGATTGCGCAATCATGGTTTTCCTGTACAACACTGATTTCAAACTTGTTTTCAAGTTATACAAGTTGGATTGAGCTCCATCTTTACTTTCCAAAAGTAGGTTTCACTTGTTACAGTTACCTACTCCTCACCAAGACTACCATCTGCATCATTGAAAACAGCTTTTTAGTAAGATTTCATTCAAAATAGAAAAAATAACCGTTTTTCCTGCTGAAAGTTTCTGTAGTCAGATGACTGTTAAAGCCTTTTGACTTCTTGTTAAAAACACTGATGTGTTCAAACTACCCATCTTTTTGAACTGACTGGAGTTTTACCATCATCTTTATTCAGATAAAAAGCAACTCAACTATCTTAATGACCATATTTTCCAATTCAGGCAAATCTTTTTATGTAACATAAGCATCTTCATTACCAAAATTTAGTGACTTACGTAGACATTTTAGATGTATTAATGAAAGCCACCCAAAATGTTTTGTCAAAGCAGGGCATATTCTGTGGTGATGTCCTTGATATTGCATACCCATTGGGAAGAAGTTGGAAGTAAACCTGAAGAATTCCAAGATGCTGACAAACAATTAGCCAGATTATACATCATTAACTGTGTTTTGTTATAAAGAACCCTAATGGTTTATACTTGCCATTTCATGTTGTTCAGAAGTGAATTTCCATGCACAGCCCAACCTTGCTTTACTTGATTAACTCAACGGGCAAATGTATGGAGGGCAGTGTTATTTCTGATCAGGTTTTAGAATCATTTATTCATGCTAAAATTAACAAAACTAAAGACAGATAATATAGACATTTGAAAGCTGAAGTTTGTTGTATCAAAGGCTGTATCTAAACTTTTTATTTTTTTTTGTATTTACTTGTAGCGTTTGTCTAATTTAGTTCATTTCATGTTTATATATCAGGTAAAAACCGAAGAACTATTTATGAGTACCACAGAGTTGAAGTGGACACATCCTTGGTCAGAGAGGGCACAGTTGTTATCTTACATCCGAAGAAAAGTAAGTCAGTTCAAGTGATATAGATATTTTATAATTACTTTTATGTATAAGGGGAGATAATCTTGTAAATGCTGGCATATAAAATGACATCCAGTTACTGTTCAATAGCTTTCAGTAGCTTTTGACAAATATTACCTTAATAAACTTTATATTCCCATATATATAAAAACCTGTTTATATGTAAGATTTTATATATTTGTGAGTTTAATAGACATTAACATTATCAACTTAATCCCATTTAAATTACAATCCATTCTTAAAAAACTCACTTAATTTTTTTTATTAGACATGAATGATGTAAAGTAAGCAATATTAGTGGTATTTTTAGGAAGATGTTTCTGAATGAAATTTCAAATTTAAAAATAACAGTCTCAGAAAAGGGAAAAACTAACAAAATAAAAGGTAGATAGTCCTGTGTTTTACAATTAAGAGAGAATCAAGAGTTTGACCATTATCATGCATGTCTAATTTTGAAATCTATGTTAAAACTGCCAGCATGTAACTTACTGATGGACTGTGAAACATGTGTCACGGATGAGCTCGGGTTTGACTGCAAATGGTGTGGGGAGGTACAGCGATGCTCTGATGGTGTGGACTGGAATAGACAGACCTGGCGTGACAAGGGATGTACAACAAAGGTATGAGATTACACTGTTCTCCTGTTCATGTTATTCCAATCTTTGTGTGATTTTCAGATTGTTACCTACTGGCGTTAATAGCACAAAGAACAAAAACATGCATGAATATTTAAGATCAATATTATATACTTCACCAGAAGACATAAATCAAGCTTTTGGATTTGTTTGTCACAAACTACGCATGCATGACCAATACAATTCACTATTTTTACTATTTTTTTGCAAAAAGAATCTACTCTGTAAGCAAGAAGTCAAATTTTTCACTAAGTATCTTCATAATGATCATTAATCTTTCATCTAGTATCCTTTGGTATGAGACTTTTTCACAGATAAAATTTGATTTCTTTTGAAATCGTTTTGATATTGTTTATATATGAAATTGACCAAACATTGGTTGTACATTGTGTTTATGTTTTTATGTGTTTGCATGTATCCTGTTCATGTTGATTAAGCTATAGCAATATATAGTGTTGCATGCAGTAATGCTAACTGGCCCTATAATTGCAAGACTTTTGAACTTGTAAAACATCCTAAATCAAATTTATGGCAATTTTTCACATTCTGTTGAAAAACCTAGAATATGAAATCATATCATGATGTAAGACATTTGAGGTAAACTTTGTATTTTTCACTTGTAAATGATTTAGTTGAGGCCTTTGTAAAACCTGAGAGAGTCTGGGCACCATGCAACTGCCAAAAAGTTTATTTATACCCTTAAACCTCTCACAACAAATTACTGAGGGTCTTGCAAACTTACAGCCAATCATTGGAGGTTGAACAAAAGCCCATTAACAGAACAGAACAAGTATTATATTTTAGATGTGATAATAAATCACAAAAAAGAAACCTATCAACATATATGTTGGTTTTAATTGGATTTCAAAATGAAAGTGATTTACATGTACAAATTACGATATCTTCAGATTTTAATTAAGAGCTTAGTGGGACAAAAAAAGATAGCAACATTTTTCACATTTAATAAAAGAAAACAATAGATCTCCTGAAGTGCTTGACAGATTTTGACCTTACTAGATTTGGTTCTGTTTCTGATTGTTTTGTCCAAATTCAACATTTTTTGCTTTAACACAATAATTCAGAATCATGTTAGCATTGGCGTTTTCTGATTAACTGCAAATACTTTATACTTAACATTTTTATTACAATTTCTCCTGATGGGACCAAGCTTAGTTAGAGCGATGACCTAAACAACCTCGAGTAAAGAACTGAGATGCGTCTTTCGGTGTTGCCAACCCATTTCCTTTTGAACCTATGATGTGTACGAACTTTTAATGTCCTAGGCAAGAAACTTTACCTCTATTACTCTGGATGCTTGTGACAGGCCTCCCGTAGTTACTTCAATTACTCTAGATGCTTGTGACAGGCCTCCCATAGTTACCTCAATTACTGTGGATGACTTGTGACAGGCCTCCAATGGTTACCTCAATTACTCTGTATGTCTTGTGACAGGCCTCCCATAGTTACCTCAATTACTATGGATGACTTATGACAGGCCTCCCATAGTTACCTCTGTTACTCTGGATGTCTTGTGACAGGCCTCCCATAGTTACCTCTATTACTCTGGATGCTTGTGACAGGCCTCCCATAGTTACCTCAATTACTGTGGATGACTTGTGACAGGCCTCCCATAGTTACCTCAATTACTGTGGATGTCTTGTGACAGGCCTCCCATAGTTACCTCTAATACTCTGGATGACTTGTGACAGGCCTCCCATAGTTACCTCAATTACTATGGATGACTTATGACAGGCCTCCCATAGTTACCTCTAATACTCTGGATGCTTGTGACAGGCCTCCCATAGTTACCTCAATTACTCTGGATGACTTGTGACAGGCCTCCCATAGTTACCTCTATTACTCTGGATGACTTGTGACAGGCCTCCCATAGTTACCTCAATTACTCTGGATGACTTGTGACAGGCCTCCCATAGTTACCTCAATTACTCTGGATGACTTGTGACAGGCCTCCCATAGTTACCTCAATTACTCTGGATGACTTGTGACAGGCCTCCCATAGTTACCTCAATTACTGTGGATGCTTGTGACAGGCCTCCCATAGTTACCTCTATTACTCTGGATGTCTTGTGACAGGCCTCCCATAGTTACCTCAATTACTGTGGATGACTTGTGACAGGCCTCCCATAGTTACCTCTATTACTCTAGATGCTTGTGACAGGCCTCCCATACTTACCTCAATTACTGTGGATGACTTGTGACAGGCCACCCATAGTTACCTCTGTTACTCTGGATGTCTTGTGACAGGCCTCCCATAGTTACCTCTATTACTCTGGATGTCTTGTGACAGGCCTCCCATAGTTACCTCAATTACTCTGGATGTCTTGTGACAGGCCTCCCATAGTTACCTCTATTACTCTGGATGTCTTGTGACAGGCCTCCCATAGTTACCTCTATTACTCTAGATGCTTGTGACAGGCCTCCCATACTTACCTCAATTACTCTGTATGTCTTGTGACAGGCCTCCCATAGTTACCTCTATTACTCTGGATGTCTTGTGACAGGCCTCCCATAGTTACCTCTATTACTCTGGATGTCTTGTGACAGGCCTCCCATAGTTACCTCAATTACTGTGGATGCTTGTGACAGGCCTCCCATAGTTACCTCTAATACTCTGGATGCTTGTGACAGGCCTCCCATAGTTACCTCTATTACTCTGGATGTCTTGTGACAGGCCTCCCATAGTTACCTCTATTACTGTGGATGGCTTGTGACAGGCCTCCCATAGTTACCTCTATTACTCTGGATGACTTGTGACAGGCCACCCATAGTTACCTCTGTTACTCTGGATGTCTTGTGACAGGCCACCCATAGTTACCTCTGTTACTCTGGATGTCTTGTGACAAGCCTCCCATAGTTACCTCTATTACTCTGGATGTCTTGTGACAGGCCACCCATAGTTACCTCTATTACTCTAGATGCTTGTGACAGGCCTCCCATAGTTACCTCTATTACTCTGGATGTCTTGTGACAAGCCTCCCATAGTTACCTCTATTACTCTGGATGTCTTGTGACAGGCCTCCCATAGTTACCTCTATTACTCTAGATGCTTGTGACATGCCTCCCATAGTTACCTCTATTACTCTGGATATCTTGTGACAGGCCTCCCATAGTTACCTCCAATACTCTGGATGTCTTGTGACAGACCTCCCATAGGTTGTTTAGGAGGTAGCCAACAGCTAATAAAAGGAGACCCTGCGTAAAACTTATCCTAGTTTTTCACTGGGTGATAAAGCCAGCAAACTTACAAAGAATTATTCAACTTTCATATCACTCAACTATAATTTAGTGATTTACCTTCTAATACAACAAGACTCACTTTTCCCTTTATTTCTGCTTCTTCATTTACCTGTCTTTCCAGTTGGTTTTTCATAGTCTTAATACATATCTGCATGTACCACATGTCTGGCATGATTATAAACTGAATTACCACCTTACATCTGAACCAGAAACTGAACTGTCATATTGTATAGGAACCATGAATTAAACCTCCACCATACTCTTGTATAGGAACCATGAATTAAATCTCCATCATACTCTTTCATAGGAACCATGAATTAAATCTCCACCATACTCTTTCATAGGAACCATGAATTAAACCTCCACCATACTCTTGTATAGGAACCATGAATTAAATCTCCACCATACTCTTTCATAGGAACCATGAATTAAATCTCCACCATACTCTTGTATAGGAACCATGAATTAAACCTCCATCATACTCTTGGATTTGAACTAAAAATTAAACCTCCACCATGTTTTTGGATTTGAACCATACCAATTTAACCTCTGTCATGTTCTTGGATTTGAACCATACCAATTTAATCTCTGTCATGTTCTTGGATTTGAAATATAAACTGAACATTCATCTTGGATTTTTAGCATAAACAGAATGGGGAACTTGGATTTATAAGAGTCATATATTGGACTGCCTACATGATATTTGATTTGAACTCAAATTTAAGCACCCTCATAATCTTGAAACGGAACCATTGGCTATGATTTGAATGATAAACATAATGTCCATCTTGGATTTTCACTAAAGATTTATTTGTTTGGGGTTTCTATTTTGTCATAAAAACACTACAGATGGAGAAATACTAGGACACATTTGTAGTACCATCAGACTGAAATGTTATATAACCTGGACACGGATATGTCTGAAGAATCTTGTAGGACAATATTTCCTAAATATCTTTTAGAACATGTATTACAAACACATGAAAATTGATGAAGTAGCATTTAATTCTAAACTGAATAAATTTGCTGCATTGAAAAATAATAGATGTGTATAAATAAAAAAAATCAAATCAAATCAAAGTAAAAATCAACATGTGGTCTCTTAGAAAAATTCATAAATTTTTTTAATGCACTATATATGGCCTGTTTGCAATATTGTGATCAGGCTGTGTAGAGTCATTTGTAAGGTCAGCAATTTGTCAGGTAAAAATCCTGATTTCCTTCTGGTGATAGTCATTGTGGTAATGTTATTGTTAGGTTGATAAATAAAAGTTTTTACATCATTTTAACAAGGGCCTAATTGAGGCACAATATACGCCCGTCGCCAGTCTTCGATGGAAAAGTAGTATCTGACTTAATAACTAAGTTGTCTTGGAATAATCTGAATATCATTTGGGGAAGTTTTAGCCATGTCATACCACCATTTGCTGATATAGTATGTGAACTTATGATTTACATACACTATATACTAACAAGGGCAGTTTACGAAAAATTAACTAAGGGGGAATAACTCAGAAACTACGCATGCAAGGAGGGCAATTTTCATACGTGACACTCTGTCACCTTGAGATATATATGTGTACAAAGTATGGTGACAATAGACCAAGGACTGACAAAGTTATGGCCCGGACAAGGAAAGTTTACGACGGACATACGGACGGATGGACAGACAACGCCATACCATAATGCTTCCTGACATACGACGGGCATAGAAAAAGCATTTGTTATGAAAATAGATCAGATATATCACGTGATTTTTACCTATGAAATCAGTTTTTGACATCACAAATTCTTCAGAATTGATTCATGTGAAGCAATAAACACATTTTCACTCAATTATGTTTTATAAGATCTTTTATAACCAATTTTTTATCTAATGACCTACAATTTCCATGTCTTCGACAATCCAAACAGAGGCTTTTTAAAAGCATACAATATACATCTGAGATAAAGTTTAAGCTTGCTACATTAGGAAGCTTCTCATTGAATTACAACAAAATGGTCATTGTATGAATATAGTGGTTAGAAAATTTGATTCTTTGCAGAAACACAAGGGTACTTTTGGTGCTTAAATTTTGTAAATGCTTCTAAGTAGAAAACTTGCATGGTTAGCACTTCAGGTTCAAAGATAACCAAACCCTTACACATAATAGAACTTTTGTTTTAACAGTCAAATATCATATACTTCCTTACTTGGGAATTCTTGTGATTTCCATTCAGATTTAAAGATGAAAGGTCAAGGCCAACCACACAAATACCTCATTGTTTAAAATTAGTATGGCTGTGAAAAATGTCAATTGATTATGTATCTGTTTTTTTTTCACTTTGGCACTTTTCATTTTATTGATATTTACTAAGTATTTAATTGCTGCTGATATAAAATAGGTACCAGATGTAGTCGAGCAAGGACTGTATAAAGCATTAATGTCTCAAGGAACTGAAAATAGCTTTAGGCTTTTACCTGATCAAAACCATTAAAAAAATGAGAAAAAATGAAATTACAAGATTGATAACATTTGCCAGTACATATCTTGCTCAAATGATAAATGGATCCCACAAAAAAATTTGATTTTTTTTTTAATCTCATTTTTAACTTAAAGATACAAGACAACACGCTTTGAGTCTCAGCCATTTCTAATATACATAGAATGGTTGTAGGCGATAGATCTTTTGTGTCGGCAGTACTGAAAGTTCTTTTGTGTCCATGGTAATAAATGGTTTTATATGTGTTTATATTTTATTTTGTTACTGGCAATAGGGCAATGATAATGTCACATTGTGTAATGTCGCTGCCAACACTACACAAGTGCCAGCAGTCGTAACCACGGCCATGCCAACCACAACACTACCACCCTCTGTGCCGCCAGTTGTTACAACCACCTCTGCTCCATCTGTGCCACCCACAACATCTGAGCAAATGGTTACCACGTCAGTGGGAATTACCATTGTGACATCTCCTCCCAAAGTTAACGGGATAGTTTGTGACAAAACAAGGGTAATTGAATCACTGCTTTTAGGTGTGAACTTCACAGAAAAAATGTCCATGTGTTTGTCTTTACCCAAGGAAAATAAGCGCTACTTTGCTTATCCTACTTGTAGGAATTGTCTGTAAGATATCGACCATGATAAGTTTCATCAACAAATGTATCGCACATAACCCATATTTTGTTGGTTTCCATTTTTTCTCACTGACAAATATTTTTATATTTTCTAACAAATTGATTTTCTGTCTCTGGAATTTTTAGTCTCTTCCTCTAAAAATTAGGTAGCAAGCTTATAACATTGAAAATACAGTAATTATATCTTACCTTCATCATGATGACAAAAGTACATAAACTGTTTAGGTGGATTTGTTTGGCAGCCTGTAAATACAGGTGATTACTTACTATTGGTCCTATATATTTATACAGTATAACAGGGATAAGTCGAAGTTGATGGTACCAAATGAAATATTCAACTTATTCAATGGTTCAACTTCACCATGTTTCTATGAATGGAGACACTGTGCTTCGAAGGTTGACGCTATTTGCATCGGTTGTTTTCCAGATACTTGTCTCAAAGAATGACATAACAGTAAAGTAATATATCAATTTTTTTTTTTACATGGATACGCACCCACTCTCACACACATAACTCGAAATTGATACCAAAAGTAATACAAATATTGTACTTACATTTATATCCCCAAGAGTAACAAGTCCCGTCAACAACATTAAAAAATAAAACTCAATAAATACGTTCTCATGAACATTCTACATTGATATAACATTGATAGCACTGAGGTGGGTTACGAAAATGTGAAGGATGCGACAACGTCGCTGAAGCATAACTGTATTAACATAACCATGAAATAGAATAAAATAAGATTTGCACTTTGTATATGTACATGTATATCTAGTATATATATTTAAAATCATAAACAAATGTGTCAATGACGCACTAGCATTTTTATTTATCTGCATCGGCACAGTAGTTATCGCTTGTTTTTTCCTTTTTTGGCAGCCATGTGCATGAAAAAGTAAACAAAACACAGTAGATTTTCGTTCAACAGTCTATGGTGTATTTTGTTTTAAATTTGATTGCCTAATTCTGTATAAATTCTAACTTTCAACCATACACCAGTGTAAACGAAGGGATTAACGTTCAATTGAAAATTACAATCGGGCCTATTAACACAAATACCGAAACATTATGTCATTTGGACCGAAGCCAGGAAATTTTTATCTGAGACAAGGTGATGCCTTGATATTCGACACAAAAAAGGAAATTTTGGTAGAATCTAGAAGTGACAAACCACAAAATATATTTGATACAAATGCAGTATTTGACTCAACAGTGTTCAAATCATACATGTTTATTGACTAAGATAAAGAAGAGAAAAAATCGGGGCTGAACTAAAAATTTGACATATCCAATGTATTTAATTCAAGCTTGTTCGACACTAGGCAGATTTACTGTGGCATTTAATTTTACTTATCTCAGTAGCAATTCTTGTGGTAAAATTAACCAGGTCTCCGATTCACATAGTTTTGAGACACAATTTCATTTTCTTTATTTTTCTTCAATATAGGGCTTAAAGTATGCAAGTTTTAAATAAAAAGAGAAAAGATTCTGATATTCCTTGTGAATGTTTCACAATTTGCATATCATCTTGACTGATAATTGACATCAACGTGACCGACAATCTGCAAATCACCCTCAATTGATTAAATACCACACATACTGTATTCGATCCAATAAGCGCCCAGGCCGCTTGAAAAATTGCAATTAAGGGGGCGCTTATTAGAGACCATCTTAGATGTAAAAGAAACACATTCAGTGCTAAAAATCTGCCTCCACCAGGAACTTTCCGTCTCCTTTTTGAGGGGTTTTGTAAAGAGGTTTTCAATTCACTCTCTTTTTGTCTCCAATTGCGAATTCGCTTCCTATCTATACCATACTGCTTTCATGCTTTGCTGTTTCCCCATTCCTTGGCAAACTCCACAACTTTTAACTTGAAAGAAATTTCATACGACTTGATTCAGCCCCCTTTGTGAGATTGTGATGTGTCTGTGGTCGCCATAATTTCAGTGTCAACCTCTATGTAACAAGGTGCACTCTGTCATTATGTGCTCGTCGATAAATTGTTTCAGATCATCTTAACATGATAAAACGAAAGGGAATTTGTTTATGATAAAGATATAAAATTCCATTCATACTTGCCTGTTTTTAGCACAACTATTCCATTTGTCATTTGATATCTATCTGCTTCATTTGTTTCTGTCAGATAATCTATCACACATGAAAAATATCATTTCTTAATCTGCTGTATCAATGGCTATCTTACCTGTTAAGTAATGGACTATGCCTATTCAGTCGTCGTTACTGTGGCTGAGCACGCGACACCAAGGTACACAAGGTAAAGGTCACCTACCACCTGGTTTAGGAATGTGTGAAAAAAATGTCTTTTATGTATGAATATTTGTCTGAGGTCAGGGAATATCATGTTTATAGAGAGTGTTGGAAACCATTCATAGGGCAGTGCCTTGATACAGTTATAAGACCTTTCACTGTGACGTCACAAAGTCACGTGCGTGAATGGTCTAATTGAGGATAATAATCTGTTGGCAATCAGAGTTGTGAAAGAAGGGAAAACAGTGGGTCACATTCCAAGTGAACCGTCAAAAACAGCTATTTTTTTATCAGGCATGGTCAGAAAATTGTGCTAGTAGTTACAGAAGACACTTATCGACAAATTCCTCTGTTGCTGGTGGACTGGAGATTAACTGTTTTTTATGTTTTTCTGGAGTACATCTCCTTATAAACCGACTTAAAACACTTCTTGATCGTGACTAAAACGTAAATCAAGACTTCTAGGTATCTGAAGAGGGGAGGGGGCGCTTATAGGGACATGGGCGCTTATAGGGACATGGGCGCTTATTGGGTCGAATACAGTATACATATACACATTGCATATCACACTCATCAGATGATTTGCATATCACCTTTATCTGATAATTGACATGTCACCCTTGGCTGATAACCAACATATCACTCTTGCCCAATAATTAGCTTAACACCCTCAACCGATACTTGGCATATTGTGCTCATCTGATCACTCTCGTCTGATGACTATCGTTCTTGTCTGATAACTATCACTTTTGTCTAATAATTGGTATATCGCCCTCAACTGACAATCGATCTACAGATCCATAATTATTGGTGGTTTAGTGATTTAATTTGATATAAATCAAATGGTGTTTTTTATTTCTCTTACATCTATGTCTGCTCTTTAATATTATAATTTGGGATGGACTTTGGCTATCTGACCTAACAATTACCAGAGGCAATTAAAGATAAAAAACCTTCACAAAATCTACCAAAACGTTCAGAAGAAGTGATGAAAGAGCTTTATTTTTAAAGCTGCTAACTATGGTTAAGGAATAACTTGCTTATAAGGGATTTAATATCATCCCCAAGATCACAGATCACAAGGGGATCCATTTGATGTAAAGGTCATGTCACTCTTACCATCCATCCACTTTACCAGTTTAAGTGCACCGATCAAACTCGGATTTCAGACACTTATTTTTCTTATCAGGACTGTTGGCTGGAGATGACTTTTTGACCATTATCAGGACTGTTGGCTGGAGATGACTTTTTGACCATTATCAGGACTGTTGGCTGGAGATGACTTTTTGACCATTATCAGGACTGTTGGCTGGAGATGACTTTTTGACCATTATCAGGACTGTTGGCTGGAGATGACTTTTTGACCATTATCAGGACTGTTGGCTGGAGATGACTTTTTGACCATTATCAGGACTGTTGGCTGGAGATGACTTTTTGACCATCATCAGGACTGTTGGCTGGAGACTTTTTGACCATTATCAGGACTGTTGGCTGGAGATGACTTTTTGACCATCATTATCAGGACTGTTGGCTGGAGATGACTTTTTGACCATTATCAGGACTGTTGGCTGGAGATGACTTTTTGACCATTATCAGGACTGTTGGCTGGAGATGACTTTTTGACCATTATCAGGACTGTTGGCTGGAGATGACTTTTTGACCATTATCAGGACTGTTGGCTGGAGATGACTTTTTGACCATTATCAGGACTGTTGGCTGGAGATGACTTTTTGACCATTATCAGGACTGTTGGCTGGAGATGACTTTTTGACCATTATCAGGACTGTTGGCTGGAGATGACTTTTTGACCATTATCAGGACTGTTGGCTGGAGATGACTTTTTGACCATTATCAGGACTGTTGGCTGGAGATGACTTTTTGACCATTATCAGGACTGTTGGCTGGAGATGACTTTTTGACCATCATCAGGACTGTTGGCTGGAGATGACTTTTTGACCATTATCAGGACTGTTGGCTGGAGATGACTTTTTGACCATTATCAGGACTGTTGGCTGGAGATGACTTTTTGACCATTATCAGGACTGTTGGCTGGAGATGACTTTTTGACCATTATCAGGACTGTTGGCTGGAGATGACTTTTTGACCATTATCAGGACTGTTGGCTGGAGATGACTTTTTGACCATTATCAGGACTGTTGGCTGGAGATGACTTTTTGACCATTATCAGGACTGTTGGCTGGAGATGACTTTTTGACCATTATCAGGACTGTTGGCTGGAGATGACTTTTTGACCATTATCAGGACTGTTGGCTGGAGATGACTTTTTGACCATTATCAGGACTGTTGGCTGGAGATGACTTTTTGACCATCATCAGGACTGTTGGCTGGAGATGACTTTCTGACCATCATCAGGACTGTTGGCTGGAGATGACTTTTTGACCATCATCAGGACTGTTGGCTGGAGATGGCTTTTTGACCATCATCAGGACTGTTGGCTGGAGATGACTTTTTGACCATCATCAGGACTGTTGGCTGGAGATGACTTTTTGACCATTATCAGGACTGTTGGCTGGAAATGACTTTTTGACCATTATCAGGACTGTTGGCTGGAGATGACTTTTTGACCATTATCAGGACTGTTGGCTGGAGATGACTTTTTGACCATTATCAGGACTGTTGGCTGGAGATGACTTTTTGACCATTATCAGGACTGTTGGCTGGAGATTACTTTTTGACCATTATCAGGACTGTTGGCTGGAGATGACTTTTTGACCATTATCAGGACTGTTGGCTGGAGATGACTTTTTGACCATTATCAGGACTGTTGGCTGGAGTTTACTTTTTGACCATTATCAGGACTGTTGGCTGGAGATGACTTTTTGACCATTATCAGGACTGTTTGCTTAGGATGGCTTTTCGGGTCAAAAGGGCAAATATCAATGTCACTGTTACTATGAATAGAAAATGGTCAGGATCACCATTTTGTCAAAATTAGTTCCCATGCACTACTTTCTTATTGGGAGTGTTTGCTTTGGATTGTTTTTCAGATTAAAAGATTACAAATTTCAAGGTCACATTTTCTTTAAATAGAAAATTGGTCTCTGCTCAAGAACACAAGTTCCATTGAACATAATAAATTCAAATTTCACATACTGCTGTATATACACAGCTTGCTTGGGATTGTGGCTTGCATGGGATTGCTTTAAGATGGAAAGATAAAAAATGAAGTCACTGTTGCTATAAATAGTAAATTAATTTTGGCACTCTACTGATTGGGAAGATTAGTACCATTTTTCTACCTTGTTAGCTCAATTGATGGAAGTATTAAACATACTGATATATAGTTGTTTCCATTCCATTAAACTATTAATATACTCACCATAATCCCGCCTTGGTTGGTAAATTTCTGCACTAGTCTCATTTTCTGTCTTTGTGATCACGCCCATTAAAGACTTGAGGATTTTTACAAACCACTAATGAGGAAATTTATCAGAATCACAGCTTGTGAATTGGTCAGAACACCAATGTCAATAAAGCTATATGAGATTCACTGATAGTTGGGTAAAGACTCATGCATTGGTCCTCACTATGTTCAACCCTCTTCAAACCTATGTTAAAATATTTTTAAATAATTCATTACAACTAACAATTCATCAAAATTCTTTGTTTTGCTTTATTCAGGAAACAAATTTCAATTACATGCTTTTAACCAAGCCAGCTTTTTAAACAATGAAACCTGTCTGAACCTGAAAGTGACTCTGCTAGAAACCAATCAAATTATACTCATATAACTTCCAATTAAATTTTCATTAATAAAAACTTCAGGGCTATAATTTTGTGTATGGTGAATGCCCATGGTCCTCAGTTTCAGTATGGTAAATCAACCCAAGAGAAAAAATTACATAATGGCGAATGAGATTGTAGTTAAGATACATAATGAAGAAAAAGTGATGAACTGTTCGCAAAGGGCAATAACTCTGTATGTAATGTTAGCTTGAGGTCCATGTGATACAAGTTCAATAGGTCAATTGTAGAGGTAGTCAAATGAGAAATTTTTGAATCATAGGTGATTTAGTATACATTTAAAACTCTAAACAAAGGACAATAACTCTGAACTTTAGTATGTAAACCACACTTGGTAGTTTCATGGTATACATGGAACTCACATTCTGAGTTTGGCAGTTGTGATCGCATGAGTAATGTTTATGACATAAATGTGTAAAGGATGACAACCATTGTAACTTCTAGTGCCCTATCCTGAGACTTTGAGTAAAAGGCTATGGTATACATACTACATTTAGCTGAAATTCTCTGGTACTTAGGTTTTCAAATCAAACAGCTTTCATTTTAGACAGGTTTCACTGTGCAATTGAAATCTGGCTCTTCTTTATTATAGCTGTCGTAATGGAGTTAGTTCTTACTTAAACAACATGTCATCTACTTTTCAGACTGTCCATCATTTAGCTTTTATATCTATATATATATATTTTTTTGTTTGATCAAGGAAAACTAGTGATTTTTCTATATTTTTTTTATATGTCCTGTTGAATAGTGCTCAATATATATTTCAGAATAAATCATGTAGAAAGGATGAGAAAAAATCTGGGTTCATGTTATGAATTATTTGCATCGAACACTTGTGATTGTAATTTTCAGATAGTCAAGGCAGAATCTGTAACTGCTAGCTTGTCGTAGTGTAAGATGGGTTATTTATGTAACTGCATGCATTGTCTGTATTGTTTGTGGATTCTTGGTGCATGTTTTGTGAAGTAATTGTCACTTTGTTGACATGAAACTGAATCAGGAACTTGTTTGTAGTTATCTCCCCTTACTTTCAATTCTTTCTGCTTTACAGGCTGGGAACTCTAACTGTGACCTACTCAACAACAAGAATAAAGGTATGTAGGGTATTTGTCTGGTGATAGGCCCTCACATATCTATTTCTGTTTCATTAGAATAACAAACAAAGGTATTTCCTTGTCCTGCTCCTTGATTTTGATTGACACTTGTATGTTGGACCCTCCCCCCCCAATGTTAGGATTAACTATATCGGCACTCGTAAGATACAGATCATTTGTACATACAGGATACAACCCTAAAAAGTGGACTGTGGGCTTAATAAGAATATTTCTTTCAACATGAAAAATGTTGAAATCTTAAAATTGAAAAGATTATATATTTCCACATATACCTTTACATGTATATTCATATTATCACATTCATAAGTCATACACTTGAAAACCTTAATTATTTACAGATCTAATATATTGCTATATTGAAGCTTACCAGAATGAGTAACAATTGCCATTGTTTACTGTAAATTTTCTCATAATTGGGGACCAATAATTATAAGTAAAGATCATTATCTTTTTAGGTCATCTGACCTGAAGGGTCCGATGACCTATAGTCATCATGCTTCGTCTGTCGTCGTCCGCCGTGCGCCGTGCGTTGTGCGCCGTGCGCCGTCCGTAAACTTTTCATTCAAACGACTTCTTCTCAAATACTAGAAGGTCTAGGGGGCTAATACTTGGCACAGAGGATACTGGCATGGAGCTCTACCAAGTTTGTTCAAATGAATGACCTTGACCCACTTTAAAGGTCACAGGGGTCAAATATGTTAAAATCTTTAAACAACTTCTTCTCATTAACCAAAAGGCTCAGAGTGTAGATATTGGGCCTGTGACATGCTGGGATGAAGGACTACCAAGTTTGTTCAAATGAATGACCTTGACCCACTTTAAAGGTCACAGGGGTCAAATATGTTAAAATCTTTAAACAACTTCTTCTCAATAACCAAAAGGCTCAGATTGCTGATATTGTGCCTGTGGCATGCTGGGATGAAGGGCTATCAAGTTTGTTTAAATGAATGACCTTGAACAACTTTCAAGGTCACAGGGGTCAAATATGTCAAAATCTTTAAATAACTTCTTCTCAAATACTAGAAGGCCTAGGGGGCTAATACTTGGCCCATAGCATGCTGGCATGGAGCCCTACAAAGTTTGTTCAAATGAATGACCTTGGCCCACTTTCAAGGTCACAGGGGTCAAATATGTTAAAATATACAAAGGACTTCATCTCAATAAGCAAAAGTCTATGAGTGCCGATATTGGGTCTGTAGCATGCTGGGAGGAAAGGCTACCAAGTTTATTTAAATGAATGACCTTGAACAACTTTCAAGGTCGCAGGGGTCAAATATGTCAAAATCTTTAAATAACTTCTTCTCAAATACTAGAAGGCCTAGGGGGCTAATACTTGGCCCATAGCATGCTGGCATGGAGCCCTACAAAGTTTGTTCAAATGAATGACCTTGGCCCACTTTCAAGGTCACAGGGGTCAAATATGTTAAAATATACAAAGGACTTCATCTCAATAAGCAAAAGTCTATGAGTGCCGATATTGGGTCTGTAGCATGCTGGGAGGAAAGGCTACCAAGTTTATTCAAATGAATGACCTCAACCCACTTTCAAGGTCACAGGGGTCAAATATGTTAAAATCTTTAAACAACTTCTTCTCATTAACCAAAAGGCTCAGAGTGTAGATATTGGGCCTGTGACATGCTGGGATGAAGGACTACCAAGTTTGTTCAAATGAATGACCTTGACCCACTTTAAAGGTCACAGGGGTCAAATATGTTAAAATCTTTAAACAACTTCTTCTCAATAACCAAAAGGCTCAGATTGCTGATATTGTGCCTGTGGCATGCTGGGATGAAGGGCTATCAAGTTTGTTTAAATGAATGACCTTGAACAACTTTCAAGGTCACAGGGGTCAAATATGTCAAAATCTTTAAATAACTTCTTCTCAAATACTAGAAGGCCTAGGGGGCTAATACTTGGCCCATAGCATGCTGGCATGGAGCCCTACAAAGTTTGTTCAAATGAATGACCTTGGCCCACTTTCAAGGACACGGGTCAATTATGTTAAAATATACAAAGGACTTCATCTCAATAAGCAAAAGTCTATGAGTGCCGATATTGGGTCTGTAGCATGCTGGGAGGAAAGGCTACCAAGTTTATTTAAATGAATGACCTTGAACAACTTTCAAGGTCGCAGGGGTCAAATATGTCAAAATCTTTAAATAACTTCTTCTCAAATACTAGAAGGCCTAGGGGGCTAATACTTGGCCCATAGCATGCTGGCATGGAGCCCTACAAAGTTTGTTCAAATGAATGACCTTGGCCCACTTTCAAGGTCACAGGGGTCAAATATGTTAAAATATACAAAGGACTTCATCTCAATAAGCAAAAGTCTATGAGTGCCGATATTGGGTCTGTAGCATGCTGGGAGGAAAGGCTACCAAGTTTATTCAAATGAATGACCTCAACCCACTTTCAAGGTCACAGGGGTCAAATATGTTAAAATATACAAACGACTTCTTCTCAACAAGCAAAAGTCCATGAGTGCTGATATTGGGCCTGTAAGATGCTTGGAGGAGAGGCTACCAAGTTTGTTCAAATGAATGACCTCAACCCACTTTCTAGGTTTGGCTTGCTTTTTGTCAGATGACCGTTAAGGCCCATGGGCCTCTTGTTTTCTGATAAGATAATTGGATCCAAATTGTACTTGCAGAGGTGCATTTTTACAGCACTGATTTTCAAAAAATGTTGATGAAATGACACATTTCTGTTTATTTTCAGATTTTTCTCTAGGAATTGTGATAGCAGTGATTGTGATATTATTGATCCTCATAGGAAGTATCGGTGGCTGGGTATTTTATGCCTACACCCACCCACAGTCCTCTTCTGGCATGTGGCTCATGGAGGTAAGACAAAGGTCATAAGGGGTTAGGTCAGAGCAAAAGGTCATAAAAGCTGGGGCCTAATCCAAATCGTAAGACTGGGGTCAGCAAAAGTTTCAAGATTAGGGCTTTAATCTCAGGTCTGAGACTTGGAATCATTTAATATCACTAATTAAAAGGTCAACTAAAGTGGCAAGGCTTCAAAGTAGATGTAAGAAGGCTAAGATTAGCTCAAGTAAAAAGGTTAAGGGTCAGTTTAGATCATAAGGTTAAGGGTCAGTTTAGATCATAAGGTTAAGGGTCAGTGAGGTTAGAAGATTAGAGATCAGAGCAGATTGTAAGGGACAATTCAGTCATTAGATTGGGGTCACCTTAGGTCAAAATGCTAGAGGTTAGCTAAGGTCATAAGAATTTAGATCAGTTTTGGTTATTAAACCAGGGTCAGATCATATTGTAAGACAGCTAAGGAGATATGTCTTGGGTCAGGTCATCTTGTAAGACAGCTAAGGAGATCAGGCTTGGGTCAGGTCATCTTGGATTGGTGGGTATCCACTAGCTACATTAAGGACTGGGTATAAACTCAATGGTCTCGAGTTGAGGTGAAGTTTTATAACATGGGTATTAACGACTATATAATGATTTGTTATAATGTTGTAATATTTATTTTGAAGTTCTGAACCTCCTTTTTTCATTTCGGTATCGTATTACACGTTAGACTTTTTCATCTTTATTTTTTTGTAAACATGTTTCAAACTTTAATTTTTCTAAAGCATGATTCAAACTTATATGGTTTTTAAAAACATTTTTCAAACTTATATTCCAGCACCGTCCAAGCCAGATGAAACAGAAAATGGCAAAAATGAAATTTTGGAAGAAAACAACATCTTCAGGAGAAAAATATGAAATACGATCAGAGGCAGAAGCTTAGCAGTCATGTGACCATAGAGAGGCGGTCAATCAGAAACTAGAAAACTTCAACATTCACTACATCTCTATTTTGTCAGATACATTTACTATGTAAAGCCTGTGTGTTATGTAGGCATTGTAGAATCCTAAATCTACTGTTGGTCTGTTCTACTATGATTACATATTTTGATAAACAATGTGGCCCATTACTTAAAACACTAATCATGACCAACTTCCACCAAGTATTAGATTTTATCTATGACTGACACAAAAATTGACCCAAGGAGTGTCTTGTTTGGTTAGCTCACCACATTACCACTGCAATCAAAATCTCTTGTACATGTTGCTGACATAAAATGTTTTTGAAAGTCGGAAATTTCTTCAAGCTGTTTTATGACATGTAATGTTACCATATTCAGTGTTATTGTTGAAAGAGAAGAAAAACATTTACTGGATAAATATTTCTGGTTTTTTTCTTTACATGTACGCTAACCAGACAGTAAAATGCTGGGCCCACAGGCAATGTAGTATGATTCAATGTCACTTTGAATTTTCTTTTTTTTTTTTCATGAAGAAAATATTCCATCCAAGGAATGTGATATAAAAAAAAAACAAAATAATCCCCGTGTCCACATACAAAGACCTGCTCATTACGGAAGGTGGTTTTTTTTTTTTTCATTTAATTTTCAAATTTTTTTTGAAGTAAGCAAGTTTCATACTTCAATGGCATGTGTTATTTATTTGTTTACAACACTGGTCCAATTTCACATGAAGAAAATTTTTCAGGTTTGTTGGCAAGGTGCTTGTCAACACCTCACAACTCAAAGCTAAATTATGTCTTGATTCTATGCATGCAACTTATTTTTAATTTGAGCTAACATTGTAAATAATAATCAATATTTTATACAGTTAAAAACATATGTTAAAATATCATAAGAAGAATGATTCAGTTTTTAAACAGATACAGATAAGATACTAATATCAATGATAATATCTTGAATGGATGAATTTGTTTTTACACTGTTTTAAAACAGGTCTTTACCTTCACGATTACTTTGTTTTTCTTGGGTCCTTCCATTATACCTGTGAAGAGGAAAGTTTTCTGTAGTTGATGTTACTGTTTAAGTACCGGCATGTATAGGAAGTAGACCTATGATGTCCCTGCAACTTGAAAATTTATTCATTTCATTGAAATTCAGAAAGCCTTAACCACCAACATGATGAGAAGTGAACCAATCAGTACTATTACATCAGGTCTACAGAGACCATGGCTGTTGGTGCTTGATGAGTCTAAAGTACCAAGAAAATTGGAATTGTATTTCAGTGGTCAAAGCAGACTCCGCATAAGTGTTTCCACAGAAATACAAAAATAATCCTATCTCATGTATCTGTGTCTCTTTTGATTTTGATAATTGATGTTGAAGGACAATTAAATTTTTAAAAAAAAAAGACCTTTGTGCCTTCCATACATTGTTAGGTATCAAACTTATGTAATTTTTTCCTAACTTCGGTGTTTCATCATGCTCGGTAGCACTTAAAACACAACTGTGTGAAGGTATAGAGACCAATTATATTGTTGTAATATATATTTATATAACGGCACATTCATGTGTGTTAGGATATTCTTTATTGTTTTATTGACAGTTTCATTGGAATCATAAACAAGGAAGAGAACTTTGTCAGGTAGGTCACATGATCTTGTGGCACATGATTATGTGTGCCAGTCACATGGCAGTGTGTGCTTGTCACATGATAGTGTGTGCTTGTCACATGATAGTGGGACAATTTTGTATGCCTAGATCCTTGTTCGAAGTTGATAATACGAAAAAATGTTATTTTATAGCTTGGTGGAAAGTGTGTGATAGATTTGATGACTACATCGATAGAATAAGAAATTAAGAGAAAAAAAAAAGAATTTCTATAATGCTGGATTTTGTAACAGAAAAGGTAGCAAAAAATTACTTCCTAATTCAAGGATTGTTAATTTAATTTTGCAAATTGAAGTAATTTATCATCATAGGCAAAATATTGTGTCTTGTTTTTGTTATATCTGATAAACTTGTTGTCCAGAAAATTTGGAAGGGCTGATTATCAGCATGACAATGGAATGACATGAACATGGTTCCAATTTGTGTTTATCCCATGTGTATACTTGGTAGTATATAAATATATTATATTGATACTTGGTAATATATGAATATTATATTGAGGTCGTGGTGGCCGTGCTTAAGGAGGGCACCAAATGATTGACAAGTCATGGTGTGGCTGTCTAGCAAAACGGAAATGAATTATTTTGTTGGTGTGACACATCAAAGACTCGAACAGATTTTGTTGTGTGCGAGTTCACTGTGATATTGTTTGCGGATGTGTGGTTGTTATTTTTTTGTATAGTATCAAAAAAATTTGTTTATGTTTACCTTTAAGTAGCACAAGAGCATGAATCAGATTTTACACAGACTGACATTATGATGAAATGGATCAGTATACTGGTCCATACAATGAAGAAGTCGACAAACGACAGAAGTTACGGGAATACTCAGTATTTTAGGAGTATAAGAGATTGTGTTGTTTATTTGTTTTTAAAATGGCAATATTATGTTGGCTTCTAGCTTCAGGGAGTATACAAGTACAATGTGTTTAGATAAATGTATTGGGGTATTGGGTAACATTGATTAAGTATAAGATATATGTATTACTTTCATCACAATCAGGAAATGTAAAGATTTCCTTTCATAGTTTTGTGAAATACATCAAAATAGGAATTCAAAAACAAGCAAGCCAACAGCAAAAAACATGGAATGAGAGAGAAAAAAACTGGCAACAAAACAAACAAAAATGGATCAAAATTAGAACATGTTTATTATGATTACTGCACTTCATGGGTTTGTTAATCAAAACCAGTAGAATTATTTGACAAGGGAGATCACTCTACACTAGATTTGTTTTTATGGTGACATCTATTAGATGGAGCTTACTCCATGGGAAACAGCTCTGAAGTAGAAGTTATCTTTTAAGAGATTTACTGATGGAATGGCACACTTTTCTGTTAGATCATTTTGATACTTTAACATTTCTCAAAGAGAAATTGCTTTTAGCATAAGCTATGGATATATATTCAACTTAAGATATGTTTAAATATTTCCAATTCAAATTGGCACCATTTTTTTTTAGAAATTTATTTAAAAGTGTAATTTATTTCAATGTTTCTTACAAATTCTTATATTTCCCACCAAAATTCTATACCTCAACAAAATGGAAATATCCATTTTTTTTCTTTTAGCGAATTTCTTAAATGTATTAATGTAAAAGTGCTTGCAAAGCTATTTAGAATTTTTTATAATATTTTCATAATATTAATTCTCATGGTGAAATAGATAAGAATTGGGGCTGGTTGATCAAACAGTTGGACCAAATAACTTGAAAGGAGAGACATATTTATTGCACCTGAATCTATAGAACCTTTGGAGTGTCCTATTTATGTTACCATTGGGACAGTTGTACTATAGTTACAAGACTTTTCCAGCAACTTTGTTTGAATCTGCAATTGGTCAATTTATTTACACTTATGTTTACATGTTTTTTTCTCTATTGATTGAATCTCCATAATGAAACTCACACTTGCTAACTCTTACTTGCTAACTCTTCATACTTGGGATAAAGGCTGCCAGTATTTTTAGTCCCAATTTTCAAAATAATTTTAGAATTGATACTAATTGTAAAAAACTATTTATCTATGAGAAAAGGTAGACTGAAATGTCGTGTTTGATTGGTTTATCAGATGGTCATTAATAAGATAGAAAAGTTTGGACAGATGGTGGCATCTCCCACAAGCTTTGAAAAGTTGGCAAATATGCAATCTATATTTCTCATATTGCATAATACGTAATATGATGTTATTTTCTGTGCAACGTTGTCAACATTTGACATTTAAAGAAATCTCAGATTTGGGTTTCATCTGTTTTTTCGTTAGAATGCCGTTATCTCAGCCCCCTTAACTTGTTTGTGTCTTGTGATCATTTTTTTACATGAATCTTTGATCTGTTTGCTAACCTTTGCAACAACCTCTAACCTTTGACTCCTTTGTTTGACTTTTGTCAGGTAATTGATGTACATTTCACTACAAGATATATTTATGAATCACCATGGTTTATTTGTTTTCATTTTTTCTGCAATGTTTTGTTTATTGTATTTTATTTTGTATTCGATGAAGATTATATACATATCAGAATTTGAGGGGCACACATGTTCACTGTCTCCACACCAATACTGGCAGTACCTGGAAATACAGACAAATATCACCCCAATCTTTTGTTTTTTGAAAATTTACCTTTAATAGACTCACAAACCTTGCATAGTGTTCAACCCTTGATCATTTTTTCAGACTAGAATATCTATTTGGGACTCAAAAAAATGTTTAGCTGTCATACAAATTAAATCCAACTTCTTTGAGATTAGATTGTATGCATGAAATTAATGAAATTCTGAAATCAGATTTAGATTTCAACCAACATAGGTTCCGACATTACAATTTTACTCCCAAATGTGGAATCTCTATTACTTATAAACAGTGGATTTTTAGTTCAAGGGAGATAACTAAATGATAATTGATCACTGTTTAGTGTTAGATATTTTTCACAGCAGAACTAATTGATCAAATTTATTTTTATAGTTCAAGGAAGATAGCCTTGTTGAATTTTATAATGACAGTTATGGTGTGGTTCAGTAAAGTGTGACTTCATGGCCATGTTAGCACAGGAATCTCAGGCTAAGATGTGATGTGGCGTGCATGAGTTGTAAATAGTTATTTCGTCATATTTATCATCAGTGTTGAATGCATATCTCATGAGATGTTATTTTTATATTGTGTTTGCTGCATTTCCATTCATCTTTTCAAGTCGAGTTTGTCAAACTTAGATTCATCATGTTTCATTAACAGTTCTGGTTGCCTACTTAAAATTCATTTTAATTAACATTCAGAACTAAGATACTGTATCTTGTAATAAGTCAAGGGGGCCAGCACAA